GTACTAATCACATACCTGCATTTCCCATATCCCCTCCCTTTGATGCTGCTAATCCTGCATAATGCACGGGCATAAGTAGTACAAATCACATACCTGCATTTCCCATATCCCCTCCCTTTGATGCAGATAATCCTGCATAATGCACGGGCATAAGTAGTACTAATCACATTTTTCATATCCCCTCCCTTTGATGCTGCTAATCCTGCATAATGCACGGGCATAAGTAGTACTAATCACATACCTGCATTTCCCATATCCCCTCCTTTTGATGCTGCTAATCCTGCATAATGCACGGGCATAAGTAGTACTAATCACATTCCTGCATTTCCCATATCCATCCCTTTGATGCTGCTAATCCTGCATAATGCACGGGCATAAGTAGTACTAATCACATACCTGCATTTCCCATATCCCCTCCCTTTGATGCTGCTAATCCTGCATATTGCACGGGCATAAGTAGTACTAATCACATACCTGCATTTCCCATAAATATGCTAAATTCCTCTTGATATGCAAATTATTTTGTCAAGGCGCCCTTTCCCCCCCCCCCCCTTCCAACCCAGCTTAAATATATGCTCCAAGCATGGTGCTGTTTGATTCAGACGCTGTCGCCTCGACAGACCTGGTTTTCACCTGAAGACGGCTGCTTGCGTTGTGGCCGAAACGTCGTGAGAATTATTTTATTGTTTTATTTTTTATGATTTTATTATTTCCCTTCTACGTGACTTTACCGAAAGAACCAAGAAGATGATGTCCGTCTCTGTCGGTGGCAACCCCACGGCTTTGTAACTCGACGAGATTGCCGCTACCAGCGAAGCGTCCGTCGTCAAGTGAATTCCCACGGCCTCTTCGCTAGATGTCGCTCTGGATAGATAAGAACCCCTCTGAATGGATAAAACGGTAAACCCAAACAAAACAAAAAAAGTCACGTTCCTCGATAATATTGTGGGCTTTTGATTTAAAGCTTTCGTGACTGCATGGATTCATCTTCTTGGTTCTTTCGGTAAAGTCAGCAGCCGGCTGCTTGCGTTGTGGCCGAAACGTCGTGTAGCTACTACACATGCAGCTACTACATGTGTAGCTACTACACATGCAGCTACTACATGTGCAGCTACTACACATGCAGCTACTACATGTGCAGCTACTACACATGCAGCTACTACATGTGCAGATACTACACATGCAGCTACTACATGTGTAGCTACTACACATGCAGCTACTACATGTGTAGCTACTACACATGCAGCTACTACATGTGTAGCTACTACACATGCAGCTACTACATGTGCAGCTACTACACATGCAGCTACTACATGTGTAGCTACTACACATGCAGCTACTACATGTGCAGATACTACACATGCAGCTACTACATGTGTAGCTACTACACATGCAGCTACTACACATGCAGCTACTACATGTGTAGCTACTACACATGCAGCTACTACATGTGTAGACTACACATGCAGCTACTGCCCATGCAGCTACTGCACATGCAGTAGCTACTACATGTGTAGTAGCTACTGCATGTGCAGTAGCTACTGCACATGGGAGGGTGAGCAACCACACGAACTCGTTCGAGTCGCCTCCTCTTGTCGCCACCAACGTGGTTACCGATCTCGACTCAGCGATTCACTCGCAGTCACTCGCTCACTGGCGGTCAGTCGCCTACTTATCACTCTTCTATCGCTACTAACATGGTTACCGATCTCGTGATCTTGACTCAATGATTTATTCCAGTCACTCACTCACTCACCAATCACCCCCTTATCACACCACGGCTGACATAACGTGCAGATAGATGCCTTTACCCTCCCAGCAATGTATTGACCATGGCTGAAAACTATAACACTGGAATATTATAATTCCTAGCATGTAAGCATTGGGTGCTTCTAAGAAAGTGATCTGTTCTATAGATAAATATTGCACTTCAAAGCTGTAATATGATAACACCGACACACCAATCTGGCATCAAAAATTATAAATGGGATACTTTGCTTTTGTAAAATCGATCATACATATGGATGAGCTTTCATCTGGTTAAATAGTAATGAAGTAAAACGATAACCAAACAGACGGTGGAACACAAAAAGCCATCCGTAAAAATGCCGCGCCCAGTAGATTCATTTTTTATTTGAACATTCCCGGCGAAGACATTTTGACGTTTCATTCGTAGTGTATAATTTAAAGTTGGCAACAGAACGTCACATTACAATCGTACCACACACTGGGCTGCAGAGGAAAGCAGACCAACCACAATCACATTGGGGGATCACTTACAAAACTTTGAATACAGCACATTAAAAAAAAGATATAAACACGAATTAATGTTGTACAATAATTATTATGTTTTGAACCAAAGAGGAAAGTGGGAGGGATTGGGATCAGAAAGTCGTCACGACATATTTGTTCAATATAAAGTATGCGGCGTAGAAGCAAGCGCAGCAGCCAAGGTGTGCATAACAAAAAATCATGGAGGTCGATTTCAGATTATGATTATTTTAAACCCTGTCAGACGAGCACACCCCTAATGAATATGAAACCTCCTGTGATACTCATCAGATTCCCAGCTCATCCCTTTGTCTATCTCGGCCCACAATCACTGGGTCTAAACTAAACTTCTTAGCTCAAGTAAGTGCTGTGTATTGCGTACAAGTTAAAGGTGCAGCCCTGCAATTGCTCGCTCATGCCACTGCTGTTGGAAGGGTTTCCACTAGCCCAGAGTTCTTCACAAATTTTCAGAGGGGGGGGGGGGCACTTTCGCCGATAAGACAACATCAGTGTGAGGGCCGCCACGCATTTGAAACCATTGTTGGGTTTCACAGCAACACGATGATGGGGGCTGTTTTCACTTGTCGTGTGATTGTCTCAGGCTGCACGTCAGGGGCCACACTAAAGGCCACCAGGGGTGGCCAGTGGCCCACGGGCCTTACGATGAAGACCGCTGCACTAGAAAGAGGATATCCTGGGAGCTCTCCCAGAAGGTATATGGCCTCATCTTCGACGCTGGCCGGATGCGCAACCTACACCGCTGGGTGGACACAGGTGTGGGGGCATTGAAGAAAGTTTCTGCCATTGATTCAATTGCTGCGATGGAGATGGAACCGGCGACCTCTGGATTCGCAAGTCTATTGTGCTAAACGTACCACCAGGGCAGCACCCGAGGTGCTGTACTTGTACACGTGTGCTTGGAAAATCGATGGGACAGGCATAAAAAAAAACCACGATTGTGCCTCCTCGAAACGCAAACATTAAGACGAATATTTACGCCTCGATTATTTCTGCTTGCGACGCATTTGAAAACACGGCGCGCAATAAAGAGACGCGCTCTTCTATCGATACGAGCAAAGGGATTCCATTTTTAAATCCTTTATATTAAGTTCGCTTGCTTGCTTGCTTGTGTGCTTGCGTGCTTGCTTGCTTGCGATCGTGCAAATCTTTCGGTCGTTTTTTAACCCACTTCCCGTGATCCAATCGAGCTGACATTTTGCACACAGACTCGTTGTGCGTGACAATGTATTTTCGTGAAAAAAAAATTCCAAAATTTTACACCTTTTAGGAAAATTCTTTTTTATATTTATTTACCAATTGCTTAATGGTGGCAGACAATCATCTGACCCATAGGTGGCAGCCATCTCAAGCCAGAGGACGAGAGGACTCGAGCCGCCCGTTTCAAAGACCAATGTGGGCTTGGTTGTGGCGCATTGAACACGCATATAAAGGATTTATAGTGACAAACTTTGTTTTTGCGGGTTAATTTTTTCTCTTTCCTTTCTCCCCTCCTCCGACGGAAAGCCGGCGGATGGCGAGGTCGACGACAGTGCTCTGGAGGACTCCCAAACGAACGCTTCACTTGCCAATCCCCGACCAACCCCAGCAGCAAATCGCTTGGTTCCCCGCGTGCGCATTCAACCGGCCGTGCCCGATGACCCCAGCCCCGCTCCGAAATGCCAACCATCGGGCGGCATCGACGGATCTGACCGTATCCCGTGAGCCCGCAGGTTTGGCTTAAGTACCCCGCACCCCCCGCTCACCCCTCGTGAAGCTCACCGTGTTCACGCCCCACACTCGTCACCTCCGTTTAAGCATCGGCGACACCGAGAAAGCTCAGCTCCGTGGTCAGATGCGTGGGAGCAGCGATCAGCGCCACCCACCCTCTGGAGGTCACGTGTTGACCGTAGGTGGATGACGGTACAGCAAGTAGGGCACGGATTCCGTTCACGTTTGTTTTTTAAAATCCTTTATATTAAGTTCACTTGCTTGCTTGCTTGCGCGCTTACGACCGTGCAAATCTTTCGGTCGTTTTTTAACCCACTTCCCGTGATCCAATCGAGCTGACATTTTCCACACAGACTCGTTGTGCGTGACAATTAATTTTCGTGAAAAAAATGTTGCAAAATTTTACACTTTTTAGGAAAAAAAAAATATTATATTTAATTACCAATTGCTTAATGCTGGCAAGCAATCATCTGACCCATAGGTGGCAGCCATCTCAAGCCAGAGGACGAGAGGACTCTAGCCGCCACGCATATAAAGGATTTACAGTGAAAAACTTTGTTTTTACGGGTTAATTTTCTTCCTTCCTGTACACAGATTTTCGAGCACCGTCCCTCCCACTGTTGCGCGTGGGTTTTGTTCAGCCGGGGCATTACGGCGCTTCTCCCGTAACACGCGAAACTCGGGAAGGAAACGGCCACACACACACGTCTCGACATTTTTAAAACAGAGGGAGAGACGCGCTCGTTGTCACGGCGTTACAATGAGAGCAAAAATAACATGCGAGCAATTGTATTCTTGTTTCTTTCCGTAAAGTCACGTAGAAGGGAAATAATGAAATAATTAAATAATACGAATAATAAACAATAACATTTTCACGACGTTTCGACTGCAACACAAGCAATCATCATCAGGTGCGAAATCCACAACTTTTTTCAAAATTTCTTGCTGTGGATTTCACACCTGATGATGATTGCTTGTGTTGCAGTCGAAACGTCGTGAGAATTTTATTGTTTGATATTTTTGTTATTTTATTATTTACCTTCTACGTGATGACTTTACCGAAAGAACCAAGAATATGAATCCCTGCAGTCACGAAAGCTTTAAATCTAAATTTAAATACGAGCAATTGTTAAACACGTGACGTACAATGTCTTCATCAGGATGGATTTCACTGTCCAGAGCTCCCTTTTTCCCAATCCACTACTGGATGAGGACCGGTGCAAGCCGTATGTGTCATGTGACCAGACTGTATCACGCTGCCTTCTTGCTCAGGGTGGGGAGCATAGACGTTGGAGCAAGGTACAGTAACAACAATGGATATTGCTGCACTGCCCTCTGCTGATAACGGAGCTCCGCAGAAGCCTGTAGCAGCTGTTTATACGCAGCGGTTTGCCCATCCAAGTACGATACCAGGCTCAAAGCCTGCTTAGCTTACGAGATCTGGACGAGATCGGGCACGTTCTGCGTAATTCGGTCGGAGATTTCGCTGGAACCCACCATCAAAATCACGTCCCAGGCACCGCCACTAACAGAGCAGATGCAATTGGTTGTTTATTTCTTGGGGGAACGATCGATGAGATCAACATTGGCACGTGCGTAGAAGACGCACGCTCCGAGGAAGAGTGAATCTTCGTCATATATCGTGTAGAACCATTTTTGTTAAATCAAGCGTGCAATGGAATCATCCCATTTGTCATTATTCGATGAATTGTCATAATTTAAGCAGGACGATTTGCTTCAAGAATCAATAACTTTCTTGTTTTGTTCTACCTCGGCCACTACATGAGCCCAAAACGTAGCGTTTGCATACGATTTGCGCAAATTGCTAAATACTATTATTGGTACACACGCGCAATGCGATACGTGTATCGCAAGCGTAATCATTGATTTGAATTCGTCAACAGTTACGTGCCTCGGTGGAGTAGCCATCGAGAATGTGCAGGCGCTGTGATCGCCAGAGGTCGCAACCGGGTACCCGATACCCGTACCCTACCCGATACCCGGCTACCCGTACCCGACCGGGTACGGGTACCCGTATGTGACCCTGGTGTGGCCGGGTATGGGTACAGGTAGCCGCACGTGACTCACCCCAACCAATGAGTGAGAAGGCCGTGAGTCACTGGTGAGTAACCGTTTGTCACTCATTTCCCAACGTCTTGACTCTTCTCACAATTCAAGTTCCTAGAATCAACCCACCCGCGCCTGCAACATGGCTTCATCCCAGAGGTCGCAATCGGGTACCCAATATCCGTACCCTACCCGATACCTGGCTACCTGTACCCGGCCGGGTACGGGGTACGGGTACCCGTTTGCGACCCTGGTGCGGCCGGGTACGGGTAAGGAATCAAACCCCGTTTGCGACCTCTGGCGATCGCACAGCAGTCTGGAGACCAGTGGGGCCCAGGCTCCGGGCTATGAAGGGGGGGGGTGTCTGTGTCGTTATTTGTACCAAGGCTCATGTCAACCACGATATGCAACTACCTACATAAAATGATAGAATTTCTCCAAAAAAAATCTGTATTTGAAAAGCTTTCTGAGCAGAGAGAAAGAGAAGGGGGGGGTGTAAAAGAGTTTGCTTTTGCAAATGTAGATAATGTTGAGCGATGCCTTCAAAGCAACGGGCTGTCTGACGAGCAGCGTTTGATTGGCTGGTCACCGAGCTTGGCCCCACGTGATTGGCCGCTTGCCCCACCGATGGGAGGTGTTTGGAATCGGTCGACACGCGCCATGCACCGTAACAAAGTTTGGCGCTGCAAGTGCCGTTTTAAAATACCACCGGGTGGGTGGGTCATTCACTCGGGCCCCACGGCTCCCCCACGGTGCCCCGCGTGAAGACAGCAAACCCACCGCGACCTGGCCAGCCAAACGATCACGGGGGGGGGGACACGCGGCGTATAATCTCGTTGCAGTGATGACGTGCAAGCGTTGAGATGATTTGTATTAAGTATTCATAACGGGAGCTTTTTGATTTTAACTTCGTACGGTTGTCTCCGTCGTCTCTTCCCCCGTTTAGCCAACGCGCTGTGGCCTTCCGTAAGAGCAACAGGTCTGCCGCGATGGAATCGATTTGATTCGTGGCCGGGGCGCCCGAGACAGGACGCGGCAACCGCCCTTCCGTCGACGCCACGGCACGGCACGGCACGTCGTCCTCCTTCAGAGCGCCAGCTCTTCGACATCATCGTCCGGCGAGTCGACGGCCCTCACGGCGGGCCGCGTGCTCGTCACGGTCGTCGCTAGCCGCCCGTTGTGCGTCCGGAACGCCGCCGCCGTCGTAGCCGCCCCCCCTCCTCGGTCTCCCGCCTTTCGCCGCGCATCATCGCCCGCCGCCTCCTCCTCCTCCTCGTCGTCGTCGTCCCACGGGAACGCCTTCTTCCCGGCCGCCGGCGCGGCCACCGTCTTCGCCTCCCCGTCCGCCGCCGCCGCCGCCGCGACCTCGCCCGTGCCGAACAGCTGCTCGATGAGCCCCAGTTTGTCTCGGGAGCCGGGCGGCGTCGGCCGCCCTTTCATGGGGGAGTTCTCCCGGCGCTGCTCGAGGGGCAGAGTCTCCCGGCCCGAGTGGCGCCCGAACGACGGCGCGTAGCTGCCGAACGCCAGCTCGTCCGCCGCCGACGTGGGGCCCTCGCCGCGCCGTTGGCGCCGGCGCGACTCGCCGCCGTCTCGCTCCGCGCGCGCCGGGACGCCGTTGTGCAGGTTCCGCACCGGCTCCGAGAACTTGTAGCCCCTGTGGCTTCCCTGGCCGTTGGAGTTGCTGGCGTCGGTGTCATTGGTGGTGTCGGTGGCGGTGTCGGTGGTGTCGTCGTCACGCAGCAGCAGCGAGCGCGCGGGTTTGCGGGCGATGTCGTCCAGAGTCGGGGACGGCGAGCGACGGGGAGAGGCCGCCGCCGGTGCCGACATCCGCTCGTCGATTTCCCGCATCTTGGCGAGGAGGGCGTCCTTACGGCGGCGCTCCTCGCCCAGCCGTGCCCACTCCGCCGCACCGGCCGCCTCCTCCGCCTGCCGCTCGCGAAGCCTTCGCTCCGACTCCTCACGCTCACGTTCTACCACGCGCAGAAACAAAAACATCGCGGCCGCCGGCGTGAGTTTAATCTTCCTCCAATTACAGTAAAACCTTGGTCTGCGAGTGTTTTGCAAGACAAGCACATTTTTAAAATAAATATTAATTTGATAAACGAGCGAGGTCTTGCAATACCAGTACTGTAGCACGTACAGTATACGCTTTGTCTGCTGAGCGTCACGTGATCACAACTGAGCCGATGGTTCTTCTCTCTCTCTCTCGCTGCGGGATTGTGGGTAATCGTCTCCCATGCTCGGTCTCAGTCGGCGTGCCTCACTCGTATAGTCAACATTCGTGCGAGCGTATACTGTTTACTATAGTGTTGTGACCACGTGTGTGTGTGCGTAAAGCATTTTTTTATTTTGTGTCCAAGTGTAGTGACTGTTCTTTAGTAACTGTACTGCAAGTGAAAGTCGTCCTGCACAATAACCCTCCTCTCCTCTCTCTCGTCTCCCTCACACCAGCCACGAATAAATTTAAGTAATGAATTTGATTACTTTATATTAAATTTAAATAATAAAAATATTAAAAGGTATTTTGTATTAATCATTTTTATATGAATACAGTATTTTTGGGTTGTGAAACGAATCATCTGAGTTTCCATTATTTCTTATGGGGAAATTCGCTTTGATATACGAGTGCTTTGGATTACAAACACGTTTCTGAAACGAATTATGCTCGCAATCCAAGGTTTTACTGTATGTTGTTGGCTTTTTTCCTCAAAAAGAGAAAAGGATGAACAAGCCGCAAGTTGTTTGCACAAGAGCGACGCAGATGTGTCTGCTTTATCGAGGGCATTTCCTATTTTGAATTGAGCCTTTCCAAATGTGGCATTGTCAAGCGACAGCCACAAATGGCTTTACAGTCGTAGTCATCAGGCAATGCCACTCACCTTATATTCTTGGTTAATTCGGTAAAGTCACGTAGAAGGGAAATAAAAATAAAATAAATTAAATTAATAGAAAAATAAAAATAAATTCATATTTAAAAAATTTCTCACGACGTTTCGACTGCAACACAAGCAATCCCTTCTACGTGACTTCACCGAAAGAACCAAGAATATGAATCCCTGCCGTCGCAAAAGCTTTCAATCAAATGCCGCTCACCTTCTCGCAACTTGCGAGCTTTGTTCTCCAGATCGCGCTCCTCCTTCTCCCTGCGGGTTCGGTCGTCCCTCTCGCGGTCCCACCTCGCGGCACCGACATCCGAATCCTACGTTGTGCGAGAAACAACAACAACAAGATATTCTTAGGTTTTTTCGGTAAAGTCGCGTAGGTGAAAATTTTAATTTAATAAAAGTAAAATAAAAATAAAATGTTGCCTCCGAAACGTCGTGATTTTATATTTTTATTTTTTTTACTTTTATTAATTTAAATTAAAAAATTTTCACCTACGTGACTTCACCGAAAAAACCTAAGAATATGAATCCTTGCAGTCACGAAAGCTTCAAATCTAGAACAACAACAACCACAAGAACAACAACAGAAGCTTCACTTTTCCTCCGACTCTCGCTTCAGAGATGGCTTTGAAAAGCAAGTTGACACGGGTAGAGTCCAGGCTGTGATGCACGGCTTAAAAGCCACTCGCAAGTTTTTCAGCGAACGAATGCAACACAGCGCCGCCTACGTGCCTGCGAAGATCCACGCGCTGCCCAAACAATTCGCGAGAAACCTCGACGGCCGCGATGGGAAAACGATTTGGACACACTCTTAGTTCTTTCGGTAAAGTCACGTATGTAAAAAATGAAATTAAAATTAATAAAAAATAAAATAATAAAATCACGACGTTTCGGAGGCAACACAAGTCTCCGTCATCAGGTGGGACCGTCACAGCCAGATTTGCGGTATCAAGTGAGGCAGGGATTCCAAGATGCAAGCTCTTAAAAGCAAGTTAAGGGGGAGGAGAGGGGGGGAGAGCTTATCAGAATGTGGTAGCCAATGAATGGAACGTATCGGGAGGGGGGGGCGGGGCTAAAAGAGATCACGAGGTGCTCATAGGCGTCGACGTGGACGTGTTTGAGCCAGAATTAAAATGGTAAGAGTAACAATAAAATATTACAGAGGGTAATTCATGCTAATTGCATCACGCAACTCTTTACATCTATATATATAAAATCGCAAATCTGTCTGTCTGTTTGTCTGTCTGTCTGTGTGTGTGTCTGTGTGTGTGTCTGTCTGTGTGTCGCCGGACCATACGCAGTTTTATTGGACGGCGGTTGCCCCTGGCAACGGGTAGCGACGCATTCGCTGCGGGGTGGACGCCATTTTTTATTCCCGTTAAAAATATGCGCACGCATTAACACGCGACTCTGAGGTAAGTTCATCAAAGTTTCACGTCCTCTTCACTCCCCCCCCCACCTCAATGTGTGCAATTACTATTATAGGGTCGGTAGATAATAAAATTATAGCGATTAGACAGTATTATTGTAGCGCGGGGGGGGGGGGGGGGGGGAACGGCACCCGTACCCAGCCTCAGCCGGGTGGACAATTTAGGCGAGGCCGGAGGCTCTGCACGCTACTAGGCCTCGACACCCACCACGCGACTCTGAGGTAAATTCATCAAAGTTTCACGTCCTCTTCACTCCCCCCCCACCACAATGTGTGCAATTACTATTATAGGGTCGGTAGATAATAAAATTATGGCGATTAGACAGTATTATTGTAGCGCGGGGGGGGGGGGGTAACGGCCCCGGTACCCAGCCTCAGCCGGGTGGGCAATCTAGGCGAGGCCGGAGGCTCTGCATGGTACTAGGCCTCAACACCCCACCACACTATAGGCCGTACATACTACTGCACAGCGGCCGAGGAGATCGTGGCTGGGGGGGGGGCAGGGGTAGCAGCCCATCTGTGTATATATGTAAGGTTATTAAGAAATATATTTTTCACCCGGGCAACGCCGGGTACTTATGCTAGTTAATTATATATAAAGGGCCAAATCCGATAGTGTCATGGCAATTCAATGAACGTTGGGGTGGGTTTAGAGTATTTGGCTGATGTAAATTTCCACATGATGACAAGTTGAGCTATCATTTGTGGCCAGGTCGCTTCTGATAAATAGCTGTGCAGCTCAGTGGGCCTCAGCTGGTAAAATACAAAATAGTTTTTTTTTCATCATCATCATGATTCATGGGCACAGAGCCCATGGGTGTCCACTGCACATTTTCTAATTCGTTTCCACTTTCCTCTGCCCTGTGCCAATCTACTCAAGTAGCGCGCCACATCTTTCCTGCACCAATCTCTTGCGATGTCGTCGTCAAGCCGTTCTCTGCGAGGTCTTCGTCACTTTCCGATTCGTTCCATTTTCCCAACGACACATTTTTTTAAATGTTTCTGTTGTTGTCCATCCTGCGTGCGTGTGTCCAATCAGTGCCAGTCTCTTCATCGTCACTGCCGACGTCAGCTCTTCTTCTATGCACAACCTTTTTCTTACCGAGTTTAGTTTAATAGTAACTTTGATTGTAATTACCAGCGAAACGTCGTACTACTCAAATTTTTAAATGCTGTTAATTCTCTCTTCGACACACCGGTGGGCTAAAGAAGTGCATTTTTTTTTTTTAACGTGACACATTTTTTTACTGTTTGGCCGTGTCGGGTGGTGGAGGGTTACGACACATTTATAAACAACGCGATCTGACCCAAAAACCTATATTATTTATAGTAAATCGTTACACGGCTACTGCTCACGCTTGGGTCGGGGGGAGGGGGGGGGGCACGAGAGGCCGTCACAAGAGGGCGTGCGGTCCGTGCGGTCCGTGCGGTCCGTGCGGTGTGTGCGGTGTGTGCGGTGTGTGCGGTGTGTAGCGGTGCGTGCGGTGCGTGCGGTGTCTCCACGGTGGGTGCTGCGTGCCGACCTTGGCTGCGGGGATCTGCTGCTTGGGATGAGGTGGCGGCGAGAGCTGCGGTGGCGGCGGCGGCGGAGGGAAGTTGATCGTGTCGAAGTAGTCGTCCGTCTGGACTGCCACCGTTGCCGGCTTGCCCGCTGTGGCAACCGATCAATCAAAACGAGTTGATTACCGCTTTTAAAAATATATAGATTCCACTCCCCCCCTCCTCCCCCTTCCGATTGCTTTATTATCACGTTACTGGAATCATGTAAACTAAGCGAGCGAGCAAACGCGTTCTTGCTCGGCCACTTCACTATAAACACCATCAACTATCTAGATTTCATGTTTTCGTGACTGCAGGGATCCATACTCTGGTTCTTTCGGTAAAGTCACGTAGGTATAAAATAAAATCAATAAAATCACGACGTTTGGGACACAACACAAGCGTCCGTCATCAGGTGGGACAACCATAGCAATAAACAATTGCTGAAGTGGGCAAAAGGGCTGCTGTTGTCCCACCAGATGACGGACGCTTGTGTTGCGCCCGAAACGTCGTGATTTCATTTATTTTATTTTATACCGACGCGACTTTACCGAAAGAACCAAAGAGTACTATCAACTATTTTTATTTTATCAGGTAAGGCTCACTGAGCTATGCAGCTCTTTTTCAGAAGCGACCTGGCCACAAATGATAGCTCAAACAAGTGATCTTTCGTGTGGAAATGTATAGCAACAGCCAGATACTCTAAAAGCACGTCGATTCTAAATGCGGAGGGAAAAACCGCAACCACGGGGAGAACATGCAAACTCCATATATGCAGGCGTTAGGGTCGGGATCGAACCCATGACCTCCTGTATACCAGGTGAGGTAGTTAACATCTCGCCACCGTGACGTAGGATGACAACATTTGATACTTTTTTAAATAAGTAAAGACGTAGTTCAAATTTAAAAGGTCATTACGAGCAACGCAACTGAAGCCATCACTCCTCGCCATCGCTTCCCTAACTTCTGCTAGATCCACAACTGCTGCACGGTTCCACGCAAGTCGCCCTCGACGGTCTAGACCTTACCAGTGGCGTAGCTAGGATATTTTGCGCCAGGGGACGAACTATAAAATTGGCGCCCCCCCCCGTTTAATCACATACCAAAATGTAATTACATGACATGCAGGCTGTGTGTGGCGAGATATATAAACTTTTAGCTTGAGGTGTAGATTTGTGCAGTAGTTTCAGGATGCCGCGCCCGCCGCAACAAGTTATAATGTGACGTTGTAAGCCTCATTTTGGCGCCCCTTTACCTTGGCGCCCGGGGACACGTGTACCCCCCTGCCCCCCCCAGCTACGCCTCTGGCCCTTACAGCCTCCGATCATCGGGCTTTAGGTCACAAACCCCCGGGTGCCACTGCAGCGCCCGTCTCAGCGAACCTGCTTCCCTCCTCCACCCCAGTACTCAATCACAACCTCCTCCCGATTGCATCCCGTATAATTTCCCCTACATCATCCTTACCGCGAGTCGGATCATTTAGTTACATTTCTGATCGTCGTAAAACGGGCACGGGTGCCTTCCGTGATTTTTTTTCTCTTCGACGGAAAAGATCCTAAACTAAACGATGTTTAATTTTACCAGGCAATGCCCGCTGAGCTATAAAGCTATCACGAACGATAGCTCGACAAAGTGGCTTATCGCGTGGAAGTTTAAAAGCAGCCAAATACTCTAAAACGCGCGACGTCGATTCGCAATGTGGAGGGAAAAACCGTAGGGCCCCCCGGAGAAAAATCCATCCTACGACAATGGAGCTGGTAAAGGACAGAAGGAGCCATAAGCGTCAGTCAATGAAATAACGCAAACGATGGGGGTAAGGAGGGGGGGGCGGGGGGGTGGAGGGCGCGGGGGGCGGGGGGGGAGCACGGGGGGGGGGGGTTTACCCTTTTTAGGGGGCCGAGTGCCTCGTGGCGTGACCTCCGTGTCCTTCCTCGGCGACGCTTTCAGCAAGCGGCTGGCGTAGATGTTCTTCACGTCCAGCTCGCGCTCCTTATCCTGGCGTGATGATCACAACGAGAAGACAAAAAGAGAGGTTCAGACGTTTTGAACCAAGACCAAAGCCAAGGCGTCGAACACGTTGCCGGGGTACAGACGAGACGCGCCGATTAAAATGTCTTCTTATTCTCACTACGATGCCGTAACGTCGAGAGATGGAGCGGCAGCCAGGCTTGGAAAAGCGCCCGAAAGTTGTAGCCACCCGCAGAGATGGAGCGATGAAACAAGCTCGGCTGCAGGCGCTCGGTGGATCGTTAGATCGCAGGATCGTGATGACGGCATGGGGATGCCTTCATCCAGTAGGGGAACGATCATGCCTATCGATGGTGAGGGCGATGATGATGATGATGTTGTGAATCGAATCGCGCATTTTAAACTTGTACACAGGATTACAAAGCCCATTTTACGAGCGATTGTTTCAACGAGTTACATTCTACGGCTTCCATTCACGAAGAAAAGTGAAACTTTACATTACAGAAGTGGGTCAAGGATGGAGAATGTGGAAGCAACCCCCATTATCACAGCCGATCCTGGAGAGGAATCATTTGCTGCTTCACGTCACCGCTAGAAAATGAACAGCACCTCCTAGATGTGTCAAATCCCTCCTAAACTACAGAAGCTAAGGAGGTTTCAAGCCTGGATAGGGCTTGGATGGATGAGCACCATGCATGTAACAAGTGTCGTAGACTGCTTTGGAGATATATATTTATCGTACTGTACTTCTACGCTCCTACATCTAAAAAATAAATGATTTTCCCTTCATAGTAGATGCACAGATTAATGTCCGATTCATGGAAATTATACGTAAAGTATAAAATCCATTGTGTTTCTGTGCTCCTACATTCTCCCCACCTTCACAAACCGCACTTATATACACCGCCAAGGAGGTCCTTGAGATCTTATGATCTCCTTCTTAGTCATAATAAAGGTTTTTGGGCGAAAGCCTACGTATTCTTAGGTTTTTTTCGGTAAAGTCACGTAGGTAAAAAAATTCAATTAATAAAAGTAAAATAAAAATCACGACGTTTCGGAGGCAACACAAGCTTCCGTCTTCAGGTGGAACCGTCACAGCACGGTAGCTGTATCAAGTGAGAGAAATTCCAAGAAAACAGTCCTTGTAAATATACTGGTTGAGGTTGGGAGGAGCCAAGGTAGGCGCTGAATATTATTTTTGTGAGGTTCGGTGCGGCTAAAGCACGCTGTTAGGAATGTTTACTTTTATTAATTAGAATTTTTTACCTACGTGACTTTACCGAAAAAACCTAAGAATATGAATCCTTGCAGTCACGAAAGCTTCAAATCTAGAAAGCCTACGTGTTAAACCTCCTTCTTAGTATTCTGAGGTCAAGGCTCCATTCCTGGGGGTGATTCGGGGCCTTTGCCAGTGCAGCTCCAAGAATGTGGAACGCGTTGCCTCTGACAATGAGACAATCAAAATCTTAAGTGCCATTTAAATCCGCCCTGAAAATGGTTCTTCCCCATCGTTTTGGTCGTTTACGCTGCTGCCTCCGTCTTATATCCCCGCTTTCCATACACGGTGGCACATTGCGATCCTTAGATTAAATGCGCCTTGCAAATGTAAATGATCATATGATTATATCACTTCTAGATTTGAAGCTTTCGTGACTGAAAGGATTCATACTCTTAGTTCTTTCGGTAAAGTCACGTAGGTAAAAAATGAAATTAAAATTAATAAAAAATTAAAAACAATTCAATCACGACGTTTCGGAGGCAACACAAGCTTCCGTCTTCAGGTGAAACTGTCACAGCAAAATATCTGTATCAAGTGGAGAGAAGTTCCAAGAGGTACGACCTTATATACTGGTTAAGGGGGGAGGAGCCAGGAAGGGCCGCGGGAGAGGAGGAGTTGTGAGATGATTATATTACTGCCAAGCCAAGCGAGTGAAGTCTATCTTCTTGGTTCTTTCGGTAAAGTCACGTAGAAGGGAAATAATAAAATATTAAAAATAAAACATTATAAAATAATTCTCACGAAGATTTTTTTGTCAAGGTGCTCTTCCCCTTCCAACCCAGCTTAAATATACGCTCCAAGCGTGGTGGTGTTTCATTCAGACGCTGTCTCCCCGACAGACCTGGTCCTCACCTGAGGTCGGCTGCTTGCGTTGTGGCCGAAACGTCGTGAGAATTATTTTATTATGTTTCATTTTTATTATTTTATTATTTCCCTTCTACGTGACTTTACCGAAAGAACCAAGAAGATGAATCCCTGCAGTCACGAAAGCTTGAAATCGAAATTAAATTATGTTTTATTTTTATTATTTTACTAGATTGACTACCCGGCTTCGCCCGGGTCTTGGATCCACGACGCCCGGCCGCCTTTGTCTCCCCAGTGACGATGTTCACGCACGACAGCAGTTACGCGCTTGAGGCTGAGTCTACCTAGGGGAGGCCCAGGTCCGGTTCAAATAATCGTCAGCGGTGCTGGGCGTGAGTGGGAATCGAACTGGGGTCCCTCAACCAGCTTAATGACTATTTGTCCAAAGAACATTTAAAGAATCGATTATAATAAGCAGGCTACAGTCTACATTATAGACTGCCAGAACACCCACGCAGCTGAATAAGCAGGCAACAGTCTACATAATAGACTGCCAGTAGACTCAGGCAATTTAATAAGCAGGCTACAGTATACATTATAGACTGTCAGTACGCTCACCCAGCTTAATGAGTATTTGTACAGTCACCATTTAAAGAATAGATTATTGGCGCGTAGGGTTTGAAAGTAATATAAATTGCACACATTGTGTTGGGGGGGGAGTGAAGAGTACGTGAAACTTTGATGAATTTACCTCAGACTCGCGTGGTGGGTGTCGAGGCCTAGTAGCGTGCAGAGCCTCTGGCCTCGCCTAAATTTCCCACCCGGCAGAGGCAGGGTACGGGTGGCGTTTCCCCCCCCCCCCGCGCTACAATAATAGTGTCTAATCGCTATTATTTAATTATCTACGGAGCCTATAACAGTAATAGAACACATTCGGGTGGGAGGGGACTGAAGAGGACGTGAAACTGTGATGAATTAACGTCAGAGTCGTGTGTTAATGCGTGCGCCTATTTTTAACGGGAATTAAAAATGGCGAATGCGTCGCTAGCCGTTGCCAGGGGCAACCGCCGGACCAATTGTGTGTCGCAATGCAGGGGCAACCGCCGGACCAATCGTGTGTCGCAATGCAGGGGCAACCGCCGGACCAATGGTGTGTCGCAATGCAGGGGCAACCGCCGGACCAATCGTGTGTCGCAATGCAGGGGCAACCGCCGGACCAATGGTGTGTCGCAAATCCCTGACATTTCGTCCAATGAAAGTGCGTATGGTCCGGCGACACACACACACACAGACAGACAGACAGATTCGCGATTTTATATATATAGATTACTTCCCTTCTACGTGACTTTACCGAAAGAACCAAGAAAATGAATCCCTGCAGTCACGAAAGCTTTAAATCGAGTGAAGTCTAATCAAATAACTACCACGGCGCCTGCATGCCGCCGGGTGGAGGGCCCTATCTGTCATCCAGCAGTGGAGCGACAAGGAGGGCTTGTGCATGTACGTCCCTCTGACACCTTCTCGGGGTAAAACTTTGCCACAGGCCCAGGCCGAGAGCGTGGAGGCTGCCTGCCGTCGAGACCGCTGCGTTGGTCGTTCAGGGCTCTTGTCGAGGCCAGATGGGGCAGGTGCCCTCCACTGATCAAACACAGGAGGCTTAGTGGCTCAGCTTTGTTGCAAACTCGGGCGATTTCCTTTCCCAAGACCGAGCAAACTTTTTTGGCGTTTTCCTAAAGTGACAAAAACTCCGTCAAAAGCGACTTGGTGACAACATTTAGAGACGTTCTAGGCCGAGGAGTTTTACAGCGGCCCCCTTGTTCCAATCCACTGCCGGATGAGTGGCTCCCCGTGCCGTATGGGTCGTGGGGGTGCTGTGATCACACTCGGCGGGGGTTGGTAAAGGCGTGGAGCATAGATGTGGGAACATAGAAGCACGGCACAACTAAATATTCTGCTGCGCTGGGCGCCCTGCTGCCCGCGAACGTTGCCACGCAGTCCTATGACAACCTGATAATTGTTTTTTTACCCTTTCATCTGGCAACAAAACTGACCCCTTTTTTACAAGGAGTCATGTTTGCATAGACCACAATACCTGCAGTCATAATGCAAACAAAAAACATAACTCTGATAATGTATGCACTGTCCTTGAAGTTGATTGGTCCATACCCGAGACAGCTTTCCTTAGAGCCTAGTCTCACATGGTGTTGGACCAGATGACGCCAAAAGGCGCACCTTGTAAAAAAAGGTGTCAGTTTTGTTGCCAGATAAAAGGGTAACAAAACAATTAACATATTTTTTACTGGCAAATGAGGTTCCAATGGTGCCTACGACAGCCTGTTTGTTCATGGCTGTTGCCCATCCAGGCACGGCGAAGCCTCAACCCTGCTTAGCATTCGAGATATGACAGGATCCGGATGATCCTGCGCCATTTGGCCGTAAGCGTAGTTCACGCTAAAGTTTGGCTCATACTGGATCATGGGTCGCCGCGGTGGAGAGATGTTAACTCTCCCTCGGTTGGTATGCAGGAGGTCGTGGGTTCCATGCCGACTCTGGACATCTGTATAATGTCGTTTTAAAGTCTCTCTCTTCCCGTGGTCGCGTGGATTTTTCTCCAGGTTCTCCGGTTTTTCCCCTCCACATTTACGAACACGCGTTTAGAGCATTTGGCTGCGAAACACTTCCACATAAAGCACTTTGTTGAGCTATCATTTGTGGCCAGTTATCTTCTGAAAAAGAGCTACCCAGCTCAGTGGGGCCTTACCCTGTAAGTTTAAATAGTTGTTAATATTCTTTGTCACATAGAAGGGAAATAATGAAATAATGATAATAAAACATAATACAATTTTCACGACGTTTCGGCCACAACACAAGCAGCCATCCTCAGGTGAAGAACAGAGCTGTCGGAAAGACAGCTTCCTAATGAACACTGCTAAGCTTGGCAGCCTATTTTAAGCTGGGTGGGAGGAGCAGAGCGCCTTGACAAAGGAGTTTACATATCAACAGAGGAATTTAGCATATTGACGCTAAAGAACTGTTTCTACCCTACTACCATACAATAAACCGATGTGAAAAAACTAGGTATAAACTACATCAGTAGTCGTTAACGTTTCGGAGATTTGACGTGCCTCGCTACAGACGGACGGACAGAGCTAAAGCATAATAAACGCTCTTAACTTTGGAGCTTTCGTGACTGCAGGAATTATTCTTTGGTTCTTTCGGTAAAGTCACGTATAAAGAAAAAATAATAAATTAAATAATAACATACGACGTTTCGATTGCTTGTGTTGCAATCGAAACGTCGTATGTTATTATTTAATTTATTATTTTTTCTTTATACGTGACTTTACCGAAAGAACCAAAGAATAATAAACGCTTTCAACCTTAGTTGTCAAGCATTGATGAGGTCACGTGGCCCAGCAGTTTCCCGTTCCTCACCTTGAGTTTTTGGGTAAGCCTCTCGATCTCCTCCTGCAGGGCAGTCACCTGCGCCTGTGCCTCCTGAGTTTTGCGCCGTTCTGCCGCCAGCTGCCTCTGGTAGCTGTTTGTGGTCAGTTCGAGGTTTTTCTCCAGGTCCTGCGGGTGGGAAGGGAACAGCGCGGGTAGATTGATGTGCGGCAGGCAGGTCGCAAAGGGCAGCAACGCAATCCTCGGCACCCGATGGAATGCACCAGAGAGTCGAGGCAAATCAACGGCGCCCTCGGACTCAAGGTGCGCTGTGAGTATAAGGGCATTGTCAAAAAAACGTTGGCTCATTATTCCTCTTAAGGCCACAGTATTATGAATGAAAGTGTCGAGTTTTTTGCGAGGATGTTATTACTCAGGAAAGAGCATTACAACATAAACCTGCTCCGCTTAAATTACATTGCAAGAAATATTTTTTTTACTGATCAAAAACGTCGTTTGACACTGCCCAATCCTACAAAAAAATACAAAGACCCCCTGGAAAGCATTACCAGGCTCTTTGGGCAAGTACTGTTAGAGAACACCTATGAAGGCTTGGAAAGCACACGAGGGGGTGGGCGGCTGCAACCATGCCCGACTGCCTTTGTCTCCCCAGTGGCGATGTTTTTAAACACTGCACCAGGTACTCATTTGAGGCTGAATCGACCTATGGGAAGCCCAGGATCCGATTCAGATAATCGTCACCGATGTAGGCCGTGTGCAGGAATCGAACTCGGGCCGCCGGGTACATAGCGCAGCGCCCTCACCGCTACACTACACACCCAATCCTCCTCTCGCCCCCCCCAACAACAACAACCGTCATTCGCCACCAAGTGGTGGTGACGTCACCACGGCGCTTGTGCCAGCCCAGGTGCACTTTGAGGCCACGTGAAGTGTCAAAAGCTCGCTGACAGGAGGTCACGGGACAGACCCAGGTGTGATAGGTTGACCGACTAAAATCCCCCCCCCACACACACACACAAACCTCCGATTCGCACAGTTGGCTATGTACGGCGCGAAAGAAGTTCCACACACATAACAATAACTGCTGATTTAAAGCTTTCGTGACTGCAGGGATTCATCTTCTTGGTTCTTTCGGTGAAGTCACGTAGAATGGAGACAGCGTCTGAATGACTCTGTCTCCTCGACAGACCGAAACGTCGTGAGAATTATTTTATTATGTTTTATTTTTATTATTTTATTTTTTCCATTTTACGTGACTTTACCGAAAGAACCAAGAAGAACAACAACTGCCATTCGCCACCAAGCGGCGGTGACTGTCACCGCGGCAGTTGAGCCAGGCCACCTGCACTTTGAGGCCACGTGAAGTGTCCAAGTAGATACACACGTGAACGCGGGCGCGCATGCACGCACACTCGCGCACCTTGACTCGTCGCTCGCTCTCATCCAGCCTGGTCTCGGCGCGTGCCAGCGAGCGCGACAGCTCCTCACGCTCGCCCAGCCCGCGCTGCTCCGAGAGCCGCTGGAGCCGCTGGAGGCTCTCCCGCGTCGTGGCCAGCTCATCCTGCGCCGCGCGCAGCCTCCGCGCCGCGTCGCGCTCCGCCTCGCGGGCCCTGCGCAGGCCCTCGCGCAACGCCCGTGTCTCTCCCGCGTGCCGGGCCAGCAGCTGGGGCAGGTCGCCCTCCTGGGACTCGAACCGCGCCAGGGCCTTCTCCTGGCGGTGCTGCGCGTGCGGTGATCGCGAGTGAGTTTGTTTGTTGGCAAAAAATACAACGAAAAAAGTGAACCGCTCCGTGATAGCTAGCCTAGATAACAGCCTATTGGCTTTTTCTTCTTGGTTCTTTCGGTAAAGTCACGTAGAAGGGAGATAATAAAATAATAAAAATAAAACATAATAAAATACAATTCTCACGACGTTTCGGCCACAACGCAAGCAGCCGTCCTCAGGTGACGAACAGGTCTGTCGGAAAGACAGCGTCTGAATGAACACCACCAGGCTTGGCAGCGTATATTTAAGCTGGGTTAGGGAAGGAAGGGCGCCTTGACAAAGGAATTTGCATATCAACAGAGGAATTTAGCATATTTATGGGAAATGCAGATATGGGATTAGTCACTACTTGTGGAATGCGTAGGAGGTGGGGAGGGGTTTCAAAGTCATATTATGCCCGTGCATTATGCAGTATGCAGGATTAGCAGCATCAAAGAGATAGCTAGCCTTTTTTATAAATAAAATATAAATACAACATATTTTGGTCCAACAGCCTATTGGCTTTCCAGACCGATATTATCCAGCAACATTTATTTAAGCAAGCAAACTCTGAACCAGTTTTTTTTTTACTTTACGAGCCTCATTTAGCAGTGTCAGGCTTGTCAATGGACTACAAATATTTGTAATTGTTTGTGGAGACAAAGAACGGAGTACACACACGTATAACCATAACAACAGTGCATCATGAGTTTCCTATTTGGTTAGAACAACTTAGTTTGCCAGAAGACTTATTGGAAGCTTTTAGCTCGGGCACGAAGAGTTGTAAAAACCTCAGGGCTCTTCATCTCAGATGACCCTCGATATTTACCCATCACTGCGAGCACCTCAGCCGATTTAATCGAGTGCTCGAGAGGGCAATATTATCGATCCTGGCAACAACAAAGTGTTTCGATATTAGCACACTCAGTCATTTCTACGACTGCAGGGTCATAAGGTCATAACAAAGACGACCACAGCATCACGCGCTTTCAGATACGCTTCTGCGGTTGTCTGGAACGCTCTTCCTTACGATATTAGCAAGCTGCTGGCGCAATGCAGTTTTAACAAATTTCTTAAGAAATACTTTTTGTTCTAGATTTGAAGCTTTTGTGACTGCAAGGATTCATACTCTTAGTTCTGTCGGTAAAGTCACGTAGGTAAAAAATGAAATAAAAATTAATAAAAATAAAACAATCAAAATCACGAAGTTTCGGATGCAGCAAATCTGGCTGTGACGGTCCCACCTGATGACGGAGACTTGTGTTGCCTCCGAAACGTCGTGATTTTTATTGTTTTATTTTTACTAATTTTTATTGCATTTTTTACCTACGTGACTTTACTGAAAGAACAAAGAGCATAAATGCTTTTTGTGTTCATTTTGTTGTCTGTCCCCCCACTTCCAATTAGCACGATTGTCTACGTACGGTACAAAAGAAGTTCAATATACATACATACAAGGTGCATGTCCATATCTGGCCCTGAAAAAGAAATTCTAAGTCCCATCCCACCCTCATATTGCAAGCAATTTGCTTCAGCGCCACCTAACGCCCCCCCCCACCCCGCACCACCGCTCACCTGCAGCTGCTTGAGGGCTCGGTTCTCGCGCGTGGCCTCGTCGAGCTTGGCCTGCAACTCAGACACCTCGTTGCGCAGACTGACGGCCGCGTGCACCCGCGCCGAGTGGACGCGCCGCGACACCTGGTCGGGGGCCCCGCCGCCGCCCGTGTACAGCGACGTGCGGCTGCTCTTGTTGCTGCGACTGCCACGGCTGCCACCGACAACGCCGCCGCCACCGCCGCCAACCTTCGTGCCGTTCCCGGCTCGGGGGCCCGCCGGTTTGCGGCCTGGCGCGCCCGAGAGGCGGGGGGAGTGAAAACGAGAGAAATGAAAGTAGTGGGATTGTGGCAAGGTCTTTGATTTGTTTGTTGTGAGGTCGATCGCGTTAAATGTTAATGTGTCGTAAAGCCACCTCCGGCCGACACGGACAATTAGTAAGGTTTGTCATGCGAGCAAAACGTGCCAATTAGTTACGACTTTCAGCACCACCGGAGTGTTGGAGAGTCAACCAACAACATTTACAACTTGATAATGACGCTTCTCTGGTGATTATAACCACCAGCTTCATCAGGCGATTGCCAGAATTGTAATTAAGTCTTCCTGTTTTCCAGTCTTCAATAGAGTAAGGTGATGGCATCACTGTGTGCCTACAAGTGCGAAGAACCCAGGGGTGGTCCCAACACACAACCGGTGTGCTGAAGTGGTAACGAATTGGCACGTTTTATTCACGTGACAAAGCTTACTAATTGGCCGTGTCGGCGGGACACATTTACGCGATCTAACCCCAAACGAAACTTGCGAATGAATAACATTGGTCACTGGAAGCCTACGCGTTAAATTTAGATTGTTACCGACACCCACCTACGACCAAATAACCCAAAATACGCCCCATCTCATGAGACCTCAAAAGTTAAGCTGCGTTGAGCCTAGCCTGTAGAGCTATATATGCATGTCAGGTTATCATAGGGGCTGCTGCGGCACTGTGGTGCGTGGTGGGCAGGAGATGGCATTGCAGGAAAATTCACTGTTGTACTGTACTTACATGCGTCCCGCTTTCACCAACAAAAACTCTCGTGGATATTCGTGACGAGAGAACTCCGCCGACCCGCGTGGTGGGGGAATGTCCTTATCCAGCAGTGGATCGGAAAAATAGGCTGCAACATTAGGGCTGAACGATTAATCGATTTCAAATCCGAAAACACAATTTGAAACAATGCGATTAGCAAATCGCAAAGGCTGCAATTTTTTGCGATTTGAAAAGTCCCATTACTTATTGGAATTTTTTATTTTTTTTATTATTATAACTTTATTTATTTAACTTAACAATTGTTCTATGTTTCATTGTTCTATTTCAATGAAAAATTTTAATATTTACATGTTGCAAGCAATTCATATATTTGAAGTTCGTATTTTGATGGTAATCATGTGGTAATGCTCCATCATATGTTTTAAATCTATTACACATTGAATATTGGAACTGAAGCTTGACTTTAAAAATTTGTATCGCAATATGTCAGAAAAATCGCAATTAGATATATTCCCCAAATCGTTCAGCCCTCCGGAGGCTGTGTCTTTCCAGCATATCGTGATCGAATTAAAAAATATAAGATTTTGTCGTCTCGTTTGCGCCCTCTGAATTGTACTGCTCGTTGTTTGTCTCTCTCGTTGCTACACCCCATTAGCCGATTGGCTACATCACCATGTGCACGCTTACACGTTCAGCCCTCTTGTCGATTCCACTGCTGGATGAGGGCCGCCGCGCGCACACCCGTGCGGGTCACGGGGGTTACTGGACCATACTTCACCACGATGACCGGTCCCGTCATAGATTCAGAAAAATAATCTGAATATTTATTTATGCTGGCGGAATCCGATGAGCTATGAAGCTCTATTTTCACAGATGTCCAGTCGGGGTGGGTAAGAACGTCACAGCAACAAACAGTTCAATAACACGATAGGCGTGCAAAGTATAAGAAAGGTAAACCAATCACCCAAACACATACTAAAATAAAACGAAACAATCACCATCCTACCAGGCAAAGCCCACTGAGGTATTCACTTATTTTACAGAAGCGGACCCCGCTACAAATGATAGCGCAACAACGTGGCTTATCGCGTGGACATTTATAGCAGCCAAATTATCGAAATAATCCCAATGCACGTTTCTGAGTGTGGCGAAACAGAATGTGTGTGGTCCGCTAACCCTTGGATCATGGGCGTCGACAACCATGCCGTGGTTAGAAAAATAAGACGAGCAGTAACATTGGCCAAGAGATAGCAACACTGCAAAGAAGGAGAATTTCTCAAGTGCCTGTCGCCATGGGAGCAGAGTTTCCCCAACGCTCTAAGGCATTCTGTTTACAAATCACAACACTTCAAAAGGCTATGAGAGGAAACATGTCGCAATGTGGTTGTTTAATCAATGACCTCACCGTGCCTATTGGTGGACTCGCCATGCAGATCCCACTTTGACCGAATTTTCACAGTTCCTATGATCACCGTTTCATTGCTTTTATGGACTTTATTTTGGCGATTTCGAAAAGTGTTTTGGTTTGGCCATGTTTGTTTGTTGTAGTACGGAGTTAAACTGATGGCCTTAATCTAAGTTGTCTTGTGGTTGTGGTTGTTGTTTGACTTGCATCCCACTGGGATTTTTGCACACAGCGTTGGTGTACGGTGCTTTTTCTGCAATATTTTGCTGTCTTTTCTTGGATTTTCTATTTGCACTTAGTCAAATAGTCACTTTAAGATGTTTTCTTGTCCATGTTTTTGTCTTTTTTTGTTGCGCTTGCACCCGATTCAAGAGCCGCATGGCTCACAGGGCTATACCTAATAATGAACTTGAACTTGAACTATCTATACTTGCGCTCACTGGTTCTCTGCACCAATGCCCTGAGAGGTCAGCGACCCACTGACCTAACCCCAACTCAGCCACAGTAGCCCACGCGCGGTGGAGGGGATGGGATATGTGATTTGTGTATGTATGTTGATGTGTGCAAGTATGTTGATGTGTGCAAGTATGTTGATGTGTGCATGTATGTTGATGTGTGCATGTATGTTGAACTTCTTTCACACCGTACGTAGCCAACCATCGGAGGTGCGGGGGAAGGACAACAAACTAAACACAAAAGGCAGTTATGTATGCGTAATGCACAATAGCCTTGTGATCATCATGGAACCTCTTTTGCCAGTACCAAAATATACTAATAGGGTTTTTCCCCTTTTTTCTGGCAACAAAACTGACACCTTTTGCAAGGAATCATGTTTACATTAACCACAATACTTGCAGTCAAATGCAAACAAAAAACAATACTCTGATAATGTATGCATTGTCTTTGAAACTGATTGGTCCACACCAGAGACAGCTTTCTTTGGAGCCTCGTCTCATATGGTGTTCGACCAGATGACGCCAAAAGGCGCAATGCATAAATTACCAGAGTATTGTTTTTTGTTTGCATTTGACTGCAAGTATTGTGGTTAATGTAAACAGGATTCCTTGCAAAAGGTGTCAGTTTTGTTGCCAGAAAAAAAAGGGGAAAAACCCTATTAGCCTTGTGATCATTTACTTTGAAGCAGTGAGCGAGTGTCGTTTCAATGTCGCCACATCAGGGTGTATGTTGTACTGCCGGGTTAAGCAAAAATTAAAACCTTGCCAGACAGTTACGAGATGTTCACTACCTCACCTGGTATACAGGAGGTCGTGGGTTCGATCCCGACCCTGACGATGCCTGCTGTATATTTGGAGTTTGCGTGTTCTCCCCGTGGTTGTGTGGATTTTTCTCCGGGTCCTCCGGTTTTTCCCTCCACATTTATAATCAGCGTGCGTTCTGAGTATTTGGCAGCTAGAAATGTCCACGTGATGATAGGCCACTTCGTTGAGCTATGGTTTGTGGCCAGGTCACGTCTGAAAAAAATAAAAAAAAACGCTACATAGCTCAGTTGGCCTTACCTGGTTAAAAAAAAGTGAAGTTTAAAATGCCAGTCTTCCAGTCACGACTGAACGAGAGAGCAATAGTGTACACAAAGTGTGACTTGAAAAGCACTCTGAACAATGAAGACAATTAGTCGGTGGCCAGGTGACTCAAGAGGTCTAAGCGCACGGCTGGCACCGTTGGGAATCTGGGTTCGAATCGCGTCTGCCGCCCCGTGATTATACCGGGCTCTCAAGTGCAGCGAGGTCGATGGTCTCAGGCCGGCCACCGATGACTGCGCAAAATAACCATCACATTACAACTTGTGTTTTCCACTCGGTTCCGACAATAAATAATATCGCTTTGGCTGTCATGCAACGAACTTTGTTCTTTTTCGATTTAAAGCTTTCGTGACTGCAGGGATTCATTAACCGCCACTACGGGGTGGGATTCCACAAAACTTTAAGATCTTTCAACAAACTCCGGGATAAGAAGGCTCAGCTAATCGAGTCTCTCACCTTTCTGAAGAGATGCCGCGACTAAGGTAATATGCAAATTATTTTGTCAAGGCGCTATTCCCCCTGCAACCCAGCTTAAATATACGCTGCCAAGCCGGGTGGTGTTCATTCAGACGCTGTCTTTCCGACAGACCTGTTCTTCACCTGAGGACGGCTGCTTGCGTTGTGGCCGAAACGTCGTGAGAATTATTTTATTATGTTTTATTTGTATTATTTTATTATTTCCCTTCTACGTGACTTTACCGAAAGAACCAAGAAGATGAATGTTGTTCTCTCGGGCGGAACGGTTGGGGAAGCAGCGGCGCTCTAGACTGTGTCCAACAAAAGTCCTTTGAAGGTATCTTAGAGGTAGCTCCGTGTGACACCTGCTTCCACGGACCGTCCGCTAACACGAAGGGTTGCGCTGCCCCGAGACAGAGTGTCCACGACACATTCGGGATAAAATTGGTGTGGAAATAGAATTTTTAAAAAAATATTCGAATAACACAAAAACAAAATAGAGAGTAGAACCCAAACTCAGCACTTACCTTTCCCGAAGCAACAAACATCACTCGGTGTGACGTCACCAAAGTAAACTCGTTTGGACATTCTCAGCGGAGGGCAGCTTCGTGGTCACGGTCGACTTCCACTGTGGGAGGCTACCGAGGCCAAGCAAACGCGGGGCGCGTGCATCACAGGCGCGTCCATTCAACGAGGGCGCCCGAAGAGAATCGGCCCGCGTCGTTAAAGTCTTCCCTGTCGGACCGGCGGCATTGTTTGCCGGCACGCTCTTAACAACGGCAGCCTGATGTCCCCTTCTCGTCCTCCATTCGTTAACGGGTTGAAAAGCCACAGCGGCTCAGCGCCCGCTACGGTATCCACTCCTCCCTCCCCCCCCCTCCTGCATATCACGGGCTAAGCCACTCCATCAATAAATTACGGGCGCCAGAGGCCACCCTCTTGAAGTTACGCTGCGAAACGCGACCGGGGTGACATTCACATTTAATGGGGCACTGCGGCCAGCCGACCCGTACTACGCGAGACAGTCCGCGCTTGCAGGGTAAAGCCATGGTGGCTCCGCGTCGTGGGCTACCTTGAAATTCTCGTGGCGGAAGGACGCGCCAGAGGTCGCAACCGGGTACCCGATACCCGTACCCTTACCCGATACCCGGCTACCCGTACCCGGCCGGGTACCCGGCCGGGTACGGGTAGCCGTTTGCGACCCTGGTGCGGCCGGGTACAGGTACGGGTAAGTCGTGAGTCACTGGTGAGTAACCGTTTGTCACTCATTTCGGGTAGGGTACGGGTACGGGTAGGGAACGGCTACCCGTACCCAGCCGGGTACCCATTTGCAACTCTGGTGCGGCCGGGTACGGGTAGGGAATCAAAACCCGTTTGCGACCTCTGGGACGCGCCCGCCAGCGGAAGCTTGAATTCAGTAGCGCGTTTTAAGCTTCGGATTCGTGGTCTTAGCGTAGTTGACGACGACCTGTGGAATTCTGGGAATTGGACTTCGTTTTCAATAATTCTCTGAGTTGTTAGATGTTTGTTTGTGGGGTTTGCGATTAACACCCTCCCCCGTCCCCCTCAAAAAAGTGTATCTGTGGACAAAAATTATACGTACGTACAAAGCTAATTTGACATCAATTCTTGTCTGTTTACATACGAGTACAAGTCTCCCTATATCATTATGCAAGTCTAAAAATAATTTGCCCAAAGCGAACTTATCGCTTACTGGGAAGTTTTTACTCGAACACAGATTGATGTTTGCGTAACATTTTCGATTTCTTTTTCACACAGTTGTTTTTTGTTCCGATTTCTATTCACTTCATTGCTGCACTTTGTTTCATTTGCTTGTTTTGCGACTGTGATTGCAGTCACCTAAGGCCACTCTTGCAAGACCACTATCCTGGCCTCTTAAATTCCTTCATTGCACCGTCACCTCCAACAATGTTACTAAAATGATCTCAGTCTGCACCTTCATTCAGGCTGCATAATTTCGTCTCGTCATCGTCAGTCTTTGTCGTCATTGACGAGTCATGATCTAAACTATTCAAACAAAAAAAATGATTGTCCGAGGTAAGGCCCACTGAGCTATAACGCTCTCTTTTATAAGCGACCTGGCCGCAAATGATATCTCAATGAAGTGGCTTACCATGTGGAAATGTTTAGCACCAAATACTCTAAATGCACGTTTTTACATGAAGGGAAAAAACCGGAAAACCTGGAGAAAAATCCACGCGACCACGGAGACAGAGAGAGAACACGCAAACTTCAAATATCCAGGCGTCAGGGACAGGATGGGAATTGAACCCACGTGCTCCTGCAAACCGGGCGAGGTAGTTAACATCTCGCCACAACATCGTCCCTCTCGCCGCCGCATCGTCGCTGTCATCATCATCATGATGGTTCATTTTCGTTCAACCATAGTCATCGTTGACCAACACATATATAATTTGCATGACGAATACTTTCATCACTAGTTTTATTCACAAAATAAACACCGGTCATCATCGGTCGAGTGCCGTAATGCTGTGTGCTGCCAAGATGGAGCTGTTTTTTCTGAAGATCTCTCATCCATAGCTATTACCCAAATAGCCTCTTGTGGTTCATTAATGAAAACAGTTAACCCCAGCCAAAGTTGACTTGCGCACCTGCAAGACCCACAAGCCCGGACATGCATGGTCTAACCACTTGTGCGTCAAACGATAACACGCCAGCGAATATAGTATGTGTGTGCGTGGGGTGCTTGTGTATGCACGTGTGTGTCTGCGTTGGTTTTTTTGTGGGGAACGGTAGCGTGGCGGTTTACACGATGCGCTACGAACCCGGCGACCAGAGTTCGAATCCCGCTCACGGCCAACACCAACGACGATTATCGGAAGGAGTCCTGCACCTCCCCTCAGTCGACTCAGCCTGAAATGAGCACCTGGTGCAAGTGTGTAAACATCGCCACGAGGGAGACAAAGGCGGCTGGGCGTGGTGCTGGCCACCTACCCCCTCGTGTGCCCTAGCCGGCCTTCATAGATGTTCTCTAACAGCAACGGTCTGTTAAGGCTACATGGGTGACCTTTAACTTCATCTGTATTTTTAGATTTAAAGCTTTCGTGACTGCAGGGATTCATCTTCTTGGTTCTTTCGGTAAAGTCGCGTAGAAGGGAAATAATAAAATAATAAAAATAAAACATAATAAAATAATATAATAAATATTGTATTATGTTTTATTTTTATTATTTTATTTTTTTCCTTCTACGTGACTTTACCGAAAGAACCAAGAAGATTCATCTGTATTTTTAATAGGTTACTTAAAATCCAACTACGCAGGTGAAAGTGCCTATATATATACAGTGTTGCCCGAGGGTTCGCATTTAAACTTCAGCATTTTGACAGACAGGACGCCGATATGCAGTCTCATCAGCGTCTCACCTAGCACATCGTCGCATTAGAATCAACACGCCTACTCTCGCCTAGCCAAGTCCCGAACGCAGTGCACTGCGTTTACAAGAGATGTATCGGTGACGACGCACGTCCCTGCGTGTAACTGTGGCCGATTCCAGCTTAAATTATTCATAGGCGTTAAAAGGTTTGCTTCGTTCAGAGCAGGACGCTGAAATGCTCAAGTTCGGACCGTGATTGTTTGAGAGACAAAACTGCTAAGCTACTACAACACGAGGGCTACAGAAAAATTCTGTGGTATGAACACAGAAAGCAATGAGTGGCCTCGATAACCCTTTATCAGTCCACTGCTTGATGAAGGCCTCCCCATGGGGGTCGTTTGACCATACTTCACCACGACGTTCGCCGTGGCCGGGAATTTAACTCAGGTTACAGGGTTCAAATTTGAGCGTGCCTTGATGAAATTGTGATAGACGTGGTCCCTACTCTTTGGTTCTTTCGGTAAAGTCGCGTAGGTAGAAAAATAAAACAAAATAAAAATAACAAATCACGACGTTTCGATCGCAACACAAGCGATCGTCCTCGGGTGGAAAAAATTATCCAGCAGTGGGACTGCTGAACCAGCGAGAGAGCTGTTACAACGCAACTGACGTGCTTGCGTCCGTGGATGGAATTCCTTTCCAGCTCAGACCCCGCTTGCTTGCCCATCACCACATATATAACCTCGTTGTAACAGCTCTCTCACTGGTTCAGCAGTCACACTGCTGGATTATTTGTTCCGCCCGAGGACGATCACTTGTGTTGCGATCGAAACGTCATGATATATTACTTTTATTTTGTTTTATTTTTCTACCTACGTGACTTTACCGAAAGAACCAAACATTATGGATTCCTGCAGTCACGAAAGCTTCAAATCAAGATTAGACATGGTCCCTTTAAAGTGCAATACACTTGGTTCAATATATATTCCAAATGTTTTAATCCCTGCCCAGGATAACTCTTTTTGACAGCACACATCATTTAGTGATGCTGATGATGACGTAAATCGAATTGTGTCTATCTGTGTGTGTAAAATATGGAGAGCGGTGGTGTAGCGGTTAGCGAGCTGCGCTATGAACCCGGCGACCTGGGTTCGATTCCCGCTCATAGTCAACACTAGTAACGATTATCTGAAGCGGTCCTGGGCTTTGCCTAAGTCGACTAGTGATGGTGGTGGTCGTGGTGGTTGTGATGGTGGTGGTTGGTGGTGGTCGTGATGGTTGTGGTTGGTGGTGGTCGTGATGGTGGCGGTAGTGATGGTGGTGGTCGTGGTGACTGTGGTGGCCAGTCAACACCAGTGACGATTATCTGAACCGGATCCTGGGCTTCCCATAGGTCGACTCCGCCTCAAATGAGTACCTGGTGCAGTGCGTCAACATCGCCACTCGGGAGACAAAGTCAGCCAGGTGTGGTGCTGGCCACCCACCTCCTCGTGTACCGTGCCGGCCTTCATCGGTGCTCGCTAACAGCACTTGCCCCAACAGTCTGTTAAGGCTATACGGGGGATCTTTGCCTTGTATTTTTGTACAATGTGCTTATTCCTTATTCGCGCACAGTGGATGTGATCAGTCCGTGGAATTATTATCACCTCCGGAACCCCCATCGCCACTGCAGACTCTTACAAGCACCGCCATTGCCAAATCGAAACGATTCTCGAATCTGCGTCGCGTCAGTGCAGCGCCCGCGGCGTGCCGTTACCGGGAGAGCCGTACTTGCCCACGACCGGGCCCCGCTTGGCCGCCGGCGCCGGCCTCGTCGCCTTCCGCCTGGGCAGAGGGCTCGGCGACGGCGTGAGCGTCGGCGACTGCGATGGCGAGCGCCGGCGGGAAACCTCCGAGGACCAGTCGTCGTCGTCCTCGTCGTACTTGTCCGTGCGGTACGAGGAGGCGGCGTCGTTGTCGTCGTTATCGCCGTGACCTCCTCGGGTCCCGCGGCCGCCCCTGCGGCTGGCGTCGCGGGTTCGCGAGCGCCGGGAGGCCGGCGAGGGAGTGCGGGAGGCGCCGTCACGGTCGCGCGCCGGGGTGGACGACGCAATTCCCGGCGACGCCATCTTCGCGCGGGCGTCTTCAGAAAAAGGTCGAATAAAACGAGGGATTAAGAGTCGCGCGTGTACAACTGCTTTGGCGTATTTCATAACGTTTTTAAATCCTTTATATTAAGTTCGCTTGCTTGCTTACGACCGTACAAATCTTTCGGTCGTTTTTTAACCCACTTCCAGTGATCCAATCGAGCTGACATTTTGCACACAGACTCGTTGCGCGTGACAATTTATTTTCGTGAAAAAATTTTTCCTAAATTTTCCACTTTTTAGGAAAAAAAAATTTTCATATTTAATTTAAAATACCAATGTGATAAAAATAAAACTCCTACTCAAGAAAAACAGAAATGAATAATAAAATAAAACCAATGCCACGCATATAAAGGGTTTATAGTGATCATTATCAGAGTTGTTTCTTTTTGTTTGCATTTTGACTGCTTGTGTTGTGGTTATTGCAAACATGATCCCTTGTATAAAGGTGTCAGTTTTTGTACCAGTTGAAAGGGTAAAAACCTATTACTATGACTTCGTACTGCCTGCTACATCACGTGTCACAAAATGGATCTGAAACGTGGACATTAACAAATAAAACGCAATGTGTGCAAAGAATGGAAAGTGTCCAAAGAAGCGTGGAGAGGTGCGCACTTGGAATTGCGTTGCTCGACAGAACGAGGGACGCGGAATAGAGATTATATGCAGGCAATAGACATTTCAAACTGTTACAAAAGTAAGTGGACTTGGACATGACAAGTTACTGAAAGGGATGATGGCCAGTGGTCCAGAATTATGACAGAGTGGTCGCCAAGGGAGGAACGTGCCTGAGGAGTAGACCTGCACCGCGGAGATGGAGTGATGAAATAAACTTTTTTTAATGAAAATGCGAATGCGATCCGATGATGAAAAAAATATTTCATGCTTAAAAACTTCCAGAACAATGCGGCAGTTGAAATGTGCTCGTGTAATTAACAAACTGCCTCCACACCTTTGATGAGCACGGTTGGCTACGTACGTTTAACACGTAGGCTTTCGCGACCAATGTTATTCATAATCAACGTTTTTGGGTTTAGATCGCGTTATTTATAAATGTGTCGTAACCCTCCACCACCCGACACGGCCAATCAGTAAAAATGTGTCACGTTGACAAAGACAAATAGTTCACTGCTTTAGCCCACCGGTGTGTTGAAGCCACAACATTTACAATTTGAGTACTACAATTTGAGTACTATTTGTCTTTGTCAACGTGACACATTTTTACTGATTGGCCGTGTCGGGTGGTGGAGGGTTACGACACATTTATAAATAACGCGATCTAAACCCAAAAACGTTGATTATGAATGGCTACGTACGGTGCGAAAGAAGTTCAAAATAAACACATATAAACAGATATAGCCGATTTGCAATGTCATTTACTGCTCCCTGGCTTTCCAATACATGCTCTCATTGGCAAGGCTTCAAACTTTGTATCGCACAGTCTGTGAAACAAATATATTCACGAATAAAAAGTGGCGTGCTGTGGTTGGTATGGACCCCGGCACAAAGAATCAAAAGGGGCAACTCCTGTCTGCCATCACCCCATTTTCATATCTGCCGACAGGGCCAACTCCAGCACCGTGGGAGCCCCAGTGCAGCTGCACCGCCTGCACACTCGAAAGCTGCGCCACTGGTGGCGCGCAAGATCACTCAATTTCGATTTAAAGCTTTCGTGACTGCAGGGATTCATCTTCTTGGTTCTTTCGGTAAAGTCACGTATTACTTCCCTTCTACGTGACTTTACCGAAAGAACCAAGATCACTCAATTTATTTTGGGGTTGGAATCTTCGTTGAATTATGCGAGTGCCACCACGAGCAATGAGATAGATATTGATTGATTGTTACCTAAACTGATGTCGTGTAAAAATGTTTGGACGATTACAGTTTTTGGCAGCGTTTCCACGGGAGGCTGGCAGTGTTTGTTCTATGGAAGGAATTGGCTCCCTACTGCAGGAATGTGACCACCGCCAATGAAGCTGAGCACCACCTATTGATCGCATGAGTGTGGAAAAAAACAACTTTGAATTTCGATTTAAAGCTTTCGTGACTGCAGGGATTCATCTTCTTGGTTCTTTTGGTAAAGTCACGTAGAAGGGAAATAATAAAATAATAAAAATAAAACATAAGAAAATACAATTCTCACGACGAATTAACGTTCATTCAGACGCTGTCTTTCCGACAGCCCTGTTCTTCACCTGAGGATGGCTGCTTGCGTTGTGGCCGAAACGTCGTGAGAATTATTTTATTATGTTCTATTTTTCTTATTTTATTATTTCCCTTCTACGTGACTTTACCGAAAGAACCAAGAAGACGAAAACAACTTTGATTTTAACTTTATTCAATTAAAATGCCTTTCGGGTCGGTCCTTGGTTGTGCAACAGTCAGTGGAAGGGAATAGGCAATGGCTAGGTTTCGTTGGCATAAGCGTGTGGATTTGTGATTTTCTTCTGAGCTACCCATTTTTGATTGTGCTGCATGCAATTCATTTCACATGAAGGCCACTCATTTTTAAATCCTTTATATTAAGTTCGCTTTTTTGCTTAGGACCGTGCAAATCTTTCGGTCGTTTTTGAACCCACTTCCCGTGATCCAATCGAGCTGACATTTTCCACACAGACTCGTTGTGCGTGACAATTAATGTTCGTAAAAAATTTTTCCCAAAATTTTACACTTTTTAGGACAAAAATATTATATTTAATTACCAATTGCTTAATGGTGCAATGCAATCATCTGACCCATAGGTGGCAGCCATCTCAAGCCAGAGGACGAGAGGACTCTAGCCGCCACGCATATAAAGGATTTATAGTGAAAAACTCTGTTTTTACGGGTTATACTTACTTATATTGAATCATCCGACGTACTTAGTAGTGTTGGCAGTCCTGTAAATCAGCCTCAACAAGGGTGCCTATTTGTAAATGGGTGCAATCACTGATTCAATAAGAGCAAACGGTGAAGCTATCAGCACGGCTAAAACAAACAGGATTGCTTTCAGCTTACATTCTCTTCATAGGGGCTCTGTCATAGACTGCCCGTGGCAGATTGCAAATGTAAAAAATGCAAGTTAATATTTTACAAGTAGAATGTTGTGACGTATAGGTAAAGTCACGTAGAAGGGAAATAATAAAATAATAAAAATAAAACAGAGAATTCTATTATTATATTATTTTATTATGTTTTCTGTTTATTATTTTATTATTTCCCTTCTACGTGACTTTACCGAAAGAACCATGAAGATGAATCCCTGCAGTCACGAAAGCTTTAAATCGAAATTTGTGACGTATAGTTAGAATCCAGCACTGCGAAGGCAAGGGTTGGTGGATCAGATGTTGAAACGTCAAACCTCACAGGGTTGTGAGGTGGCCTGATTGCTGTCCAACAGTGGGTTAATGAACCCGTCTGTGCAGAACTTTGAAGAGTATGCCCTTGTGCAGGTATTGTACTCCATTTTACATCCATACAGAAAACACTCCATCTGAATTAGCCCCCGAACTAAGGGGGCTGTGGTTGGTACCACCTCACATGGCAAATGCTAACAGTATGCACTTGTAAGTATAGTATCCACATACAGGCAGTATCCACAAACCAGAGAAAGCTTAGAGTGTGTGCCGTGTTTTAAATGCGCACTTTATGTATTTCGAAAATGTCTCATAACACATCCCCCCCCGCCTCCCCCAAAACGACATTCTCTATCAAACATACTTGGGTACTCTTTTTTCTTGAAAGATTTCTAGTAAATGTTTTTATTTTTAAAGCAACCAGGGTCACCTTACTATCATACATATATGTGATCTAGAGATAAAGTGTTTCAGGAAAAATATTGTGAGAATATGCCACCCTGGGAGTTACCGATAAGCCATTTTTGGCCCATTGCCTCAAGGTCCAAACAGAGGGCCCCATTGAAAAGTGGTATTCACATTGAGTAAAACCTTCCTGAAAAATGACATTATGGGTACAATAAACACAGTACTGCGGAGGGAGCTGGTAGGAACGTTGGGTTGCTCGGTCAATGGCCAGGGTCAACGGCGGCGTGGTGTATTCCGCAAATATGCCCGACTGTGAGGGCGGGCACAAGCCGGCGTGAGTAGGTTAAACGTTGAGTTTTATAAGGGCACCACGGGGTGACCAGCCACTCCCCACCCAACCCCACCCCTCCCACCCCCAACCCAGCCCCACCCTCCCGACCCAGCCCCACCCTCCCCTCGCCACCCAGCCCCACCCTCCCCTCCCCACCCAGCCCCTCCCCTCCCCACCCTCCCCTCTCCACCCAGCCCCACCCCTCCCATTTTTGGATGCACGACGGACAGACACAATAATCCCCTGTGGGCTGGTGTAACCAGGAGGTTCCTACTAGTATTATTACAATTAACTGATATTGTTGATAACTTTCAGGGGGAGCAGAAGCTCAGTTATTGTGACAACCTGGTTAATTTACTTTCTTAATAACATGCGGACAATGTGAGTGAGCACAAGCAGCATACGGAACAGTAAAAGTGAAAATGACGCTGCCCGAAAGTTCAGAATCAGAATATTCATTTACACTGGAGGAATCCGGTGAGCAGATTTCCAGGAGGGGCAGGTCAATAAAACTGCTTGCTCATGCCGATGCTGGCAGATGGGCCTCCATGAGAGGGAGCATTGGAGTGCCCCTATTTGGCCTACTCTTCTATGCCCGCTAGATAGACATCTCGGACAAAGTGGCAGCACGCACACTTTAACCGACCACACGCAGCCTGCCAAACAACTAACATTCAGTGCGTACTCTATTTATAGGGTATTACACACCCGTGTATAAATGGGTCAACTTCAGCTGTTTTGCGGATTTAATGTAACATGTTCAAATGGCCAAAATCAGCAGCCACAGAGAGACTGTGATGGGAATTTGCACGCATGCCATTCTAGAAATGATTCGAGTAGTCAGCCAGATAATGGATAACCATTGCACCCTTGTGAGCCAACATTTCTAAGGAAACGATGTACACCGAGTGGCACATGCCTCTAACCAAACAAAGCTGGCCTCTGCCAAAAGGGCCATAACCAAGCAACGCAGCGGGCGTCATCATTCTCATCGGAGGTGTTACGCAGCACTGTATGTAGAACTTCTTTCGCACCGTACGCGGCGAACCGTGCTAATCGGAGGTGCGCGAGGACAACACACCGAAACACAAAAGGCAATTCTAGGGGAAATGAGTGTTTAAACTCGATCATTTAAAAGTGCATAGCTCCAGTGGCTTCCTAATGTCGGAAGGAAGAGCGTTCCAGACGGCCAAAGAAGCGCATCTGACAGCTGATCAATCCACTGCTGGCTGCAGGCCTGTGCAAGCTGCTGCTATCGATCGCTCGCCGTGCTGTGATGCAGCAAGCCATCGATCTAAGCGCCTGCACGCGAGTTGATTTCACGACTCCATCTCCGTGATTGTTCGTCGTTATCTTGGGCGAGGTTTCCCATATTTTGGTTGCCACGCTGTTGTGAGTTTCGACCACCCAAGCCCAATTAACATTTCTTATCAGTCAGTATGAGGTCTCTAACTTGTATATCCGTATATGCTCTCGGAGTCGTGCATGCCTCTGCTTGTCAGTGTCATTAAAACTATAAAAACCAGTCCATTTTTATTTTACCAGGTAAGGCCCACTGAGCTGTATAGCGCTTTTTCAGAAGCCACCTGGCTATGACAAATGATAGCCCTATGAAGTGGCTTATCATGTGGAAATTGACAGCAGCTAAATAGATAATTACATGTTTCTAAATGTTGCGGGGAAAACCTGAGGACCTGGGGGAAAAAATGCACGCGGCCACGGAGAGAGAGAGACACGCAAATACCAAATATACAACAGGCGCTGAGGTCGGCATCGAACCCACGACCTCCTATATATAAGGCGAGGTAGTTAACATCTCCTCGCCAGCGTGATGATGATGAGAGAGAGACACGCAAACACCAAATATGCAGCAGCAGGTGTCAGGGTCGGGATCGAACCTCCTGTAGACCAGGCGAGGTAGTCAACATCTCCTAGCCACCGTGATGATGATGCGAGAGAGAGACACGCAAACTCCAAATATACAGCAGCAGACGTCAGGGTCGGGATCGAACCCACGACCTCCTGTATACCACGCGAGGTAGTTAACATCTCATAGCCACCGCGGCGCACCAAGCATGCATCTCGCCATGCTTTCCCATCTGCAATCATGATCTATCCACTGCTGCATGAAGATAACAAATTATGTATTTCATCTGCATGTGTCCTCGAAGCCACGCGTTCCTCTCAGTATAATTCCTAGCGTGCATAATAATTCGAAGCAGTGCACAAATATTACTTTGACTCAACGCACATTTTACGTTATCTAGCAAAGCCTTACAGAGTCTCGAAACTATACACATTTTTTAAAGATCTTAAGAAGAAAACTTTTCATTAACGGGCCTTTGCCAACGTTGTCAAATCGGACTATGATAGAGCCCATCTCGTCGGAATTTAGAATTCAAATTAGCGGCTCAACAGGCAAATGAGACGTACGTCAATAACTGAATTTGACACATTAAAGTGTGCGCATGATACTTTTGTAGAATTGTAAATTTAATTTATGTCAAAAAAATTTCGTTAAATCGCAAGTGCGAATGACGCTCTGATTTTGTTACAACTAAAAGATGAAACAGCACTCCTCTTAATAACGCAAGGTACACTGAACGCTACCGAGGTTAAATTAAACATTGTAATCGTAAACATTGTAGAGTATCGTTATTATTAAGCATTTTAAATGTAAACACAAGCGGAAGGGGGGCGGATGTCACAACGAGCATCAATAGTCGTTTATAACCACAGCACATTTCGACATTTAAAATAGAATACCTCACCAAAACTAAGGCTTTTCTTGAGAACAAGACTTCAAACGTCCTCCTCCGTCACGTTTCGCGTTGCCTTCGACACTTAAATGGTTAAAAAATGTTAAATTATAGACGTTTTAGAGCCGCAGATTTGCGCTCGCTCCGCTAGTCGAGGCAGAGTCCGCGACTCTGAGCTGGGCCGCGCTTATGTTTCGTCGCCACGGCAACGGCGGGTGCGGTTCAGAATTCATCACGCGGATAAGCCACGGTGCGCCGCGCCTATTGGCGAAGGCGTCGACGGAGGGGGCGGGGGGGAGGGGGTCGCGCGCATGCGATGTACGATTTACAAACGGATCGTGGCTAATGCCCCCCAGAGGATTGAATGGGGGATTAGTGGGGCAATGCTCATTGGGTCGACATAAAGGGGCCGTCCATAAATGACGTCACACGATTTAGGACGATTTTTGACCCCCAACCCCTAGTCACACGGCGTCACAAAAAGTCAGACCCCCCCCTCCCTCCCCTCTCAAATATGACGTCACAATGCTCTGCACCCCCCCACCCACCCAAAACCATATTTGCATTTTGAAAATAAAGCATGCTTCAAATCGCTTTAAGCTATTGGCATTGTAGTGCGTATTTAATGTGGCGCTGCACTCTGATGTTGTAGGAGAAAACATTTATTATACTTCGATGTAAAGCTTTCGTGACTGCAGGGATTCATCTTCTTTATTCTTTCGGTAAAGTCACGTAGAAGGGAAATAATAAAATAATAAAAATAAAACAGAATAAAATTTCGATTTAAAGCTTTCGTGACTGCAGGGATTCATTTTCTTGGTTCTTTCGGTAAAGTCACGTAGAAGGGAAATAATAAAATAATAAAAATAAAACATATACAATATTTTATATTATTATGTTTTATTTTTATTATTGAAAATAAAATATTTTATTTTATTATGTTTTATTTTTATTATTTAATTATTTCCCTTCTACGTGACTTTACCGAAAGAACCAAGAAGATGTTGGCCTGACGTTGACCCAACGTCCCACGATCACTGGGTTAGTGTCTGCTAATGTATTTTGTATTGGTCACCACGACAACGCAAATGACCTGCAATTTAAGGGCATTTAAAGCCCCCTGTTTTGTTCAACAGAGGGCACTGCACTCACGCTACGTATTTCAAACACGGATTGCTTAATGCGTGAACATGACTCAAAACTTCTAGATTTGAAGCTTTCGTGACTGCAAGGATGTCATATTCTTAGGTTTTTTCGGTAAAGTCACGTAGGTAAAAAATTAAAATTAATAAAAGTAAAATAAAATAAAAATCACGACGTTTCGGAGGCAACACAAGCTTCCGTCTTCAGGTGGAACCGTCACAGCCACGACAGCTGTATCAAGTAAATGAGAGATTTCAGGAGCTACCACTTCGTATATATAATAGTTGGAGAGGTGGGAAGGGCCAAGTACGGCACACTTTTTTATTAATATGGTGAGGTGAGGCTTAAGAGGCTAAGCCTTTGTTATGGAGAGGTACGGTTTGTGACTAAGCCTGGCCTACATAACAATAGTGTGAAAAAGAAACAACTAAACATGGTAAAACAAGCCTGGATGTCTATCAATAACCTGTAATAGTTGTCTGTCAAATAAGATTGGCCAAATAAGTGTAGTTAAATCTTTTTTGCATGATTACTCAGTTTGTAACCATCATCACGCAGTCATCCGATCTAAGACATTGGCAGGTCCTCCCCAATCCTCCAGTTATTCATCAACATCAGCTGATGATGTATATCGACTGCTGGACGAAGTCCACGCCGCGCTGTCATCCCCCACGATCGTGCGATGCCACCACAGTCAATCCCAGTTACGGGTACGATATTCGTAGGTTTTTTCGGTAAAGTCACGTAGGTAAAAATTTTAATTAATAAAAGTAAAATAAAACAAAATAAAAAATCACGACGTTTCGGAAGCAACACAAGCCTCTGTCTTCTTGCTTCCGAAACGTCGTGATTTTTATTTTGTTTTATTTTATTTTTATTAATTTAAATGTTTACTTACGTGACTTTACCGAAAAAACCCTAAGAATATTAATCCTTGCAGTCACGAAAGCTTCAAATCTAGAATTACGGGTACGATGTTGAGCCAACGTTGGGATGTGGTGAGATCTGTGGGCCCAACGTTGACTCAACGTTGGCTCCACCATCCAATCTAAGTTGTCTTGTGGTTGTTGTTGTTGTTGTTGTTTGACTTGCATCCCACTGGGATTTTTGCACACAGCGTTGGTGTATGGTGTTTTTTCTGCAATATTTTGCTGTCTTTTCTTGGATTTTCTCTTTGCACCTAGTCACATATTCACTTTAAGATGTTTTTTGTTCATGTTTTTGTTTTTTGTTTGTTGCGGTTGCACCCGATTCAAGAGCCGAATGGCTCACAGGGCTATACCTAATACATGAACTTGAAACTTGAAACCATCGTTCCACGTGTCTTCCATTATAATTCAAAGCATGCTACTTGATTCACTGAAATTGTAGGTGACGCAACTCAACAACGTTACTGCCAGACAATGATATTTAATCCAGCTAAGTGTCTGTTCGTAATGATTGATGAGTTTGAACTGAACTCCCGTTTGTTTTACGAATGTACAATAGTAGGGGTAGTTAGTAGGCATCGGAGTTAATTGGCGAGACTGTGTTAACGGACTTTATAAAGCACTATAAGGACGGTACCTAAACACATTCCTGCGGAGGGAGCTGGTAGGAACGTTGGGTTGCTCGGTCAATGGCCAGGGTCAACGGCGGCGTGGTGTATTCCGCAAATATGCCCGACTGTGAGGGCGGGCACAAGCCGGCGTAAGTAGGTTACACGTTGAGTTTTATAAGGGCACCACAGGGTGACCAGCCCCTCCCCACCCAGCCCCACCCCTCCCACCCCCCACCCAGCCCCACCCTGCCCACCCAGCCCCTCCACACCCTCCCCTCCCCACCCAGCCCCTCCCCACCCAGCCCCACCCTCCCCTCCCCACCCAGCCCCTCCCCACCCTCCCCTCTCCACCCAGCCCCACCCTCCCCTCCCCACCCAGCCCCTCCCCACCCTCCTCTCTCCACCCAGCCCCACCCTCCCCTCCCCACCCAGCCCCTCCCCACCCTCCCCTCTCCACCCAGCCCCACCCCTCCCATTTTTGGATCCACGACGGACGGACGGACACAATAATCCCCTGTGGGCTGGTGGAACCAGGTGGTTCCTACCAGTATTAAGGTTCTTGTAGGCCCTAGGCACTTATGTTTCGTAGGCCTTCAGCAACAACCTCATACAGTTGGTGCGGCTGCCCATGTTACTATCACCGCTGTTACGCATTTGATTGTGCGAAAAACACCCCTTGAAGATTTTATTGCTAAATTTAGCAATTAAAAAAAACATCTCGAAAAGTTAATCTCCTGTGTTAAATTTCTCTCACCTTGTGCAAAAAAAACCGATTGACATTGACGTGACTCTGCCTCTTTGTAGAGTATATACACTGTGCCTATCCTTGCTATAAAAACATTTATTCAAGAAAATATGTTGGTTATATCTTGTTATCATACAACCAAAAAAAACATGGTAAAAAAATATTTTTGTAGACCCTTTGGTTTTCGTAGGCCTTAGGCGCACCGTAGGCACTCTTGACTATTTCACAAAAAGGCTCTGAATAGTTTATGTTCAAACCCTGCGTAGGTTCTGATACATGACGGAGTTGGGCGAATTGAACGCCGCATGATTGTACTTAAGCCTTTGCTTTTACATTTCCTCTGAGGCAGTCTGAGATGAGCGAAGTTGTGCTGAGTGCTTGTTTTCTATGCCCGAGAAACAATAACCCACCTATTGGCGTCTGTCCAGTGTTACAACCTTGGACGAGGTCTCGTGCACGATATTTGTTACGTGATTTCACAAGAAAAGAACGGTTGCGTAATGATGCAGCGGCCAACTAACTTAACAATAAGACTAATATCGCGTGCGGTGGAAACCTGTAATAACTTTGGTTAAAAAAACGACATAGGTATGAGACAAAGGCACAGCCCTGCAATTGCTTGCTCACGCTGCTGCTAGAAAAAGGGCCTCCGCTAAAGGGAGCTTTAGAGAGACCCGCTAGAGGTTATTTTGCCTTACTCCTCCACGAGCATGACTACTCTATTCAGGGGAAAATCCACACTGCACAGACTAAACCGCACATACGGATATGGCACAGACTAAAACTCAACACATGTGTCCATAACAACACTTGTTATGACTAATCCCAATTCATTCCAGAAATGTGTTGGTTATTTTATAATTTGACAAATTTGGGCCGTGGAACCTGGCACACGATGGCTTCCTATCAAGCAGACGGTGCTTACTTAAAAGTTAATACGTGACACTGCAGTGATAACCGGGGTGGCCCGCTGGATTCGAACCAAAAACCTCTGCAACAAGCGAGCAAACGTGTTCTTGCTCGGCCACTTCGCCATAAAAAACATCAACTATTATTATTTGATCAGGTAAGGTCCACTGAGCTATACATCTATTCTTTTCCCAGAAGTGACATGGCCACAAATGATAGCTCAACGAAGTGGCTTATCAGGGTGGGAATTTATTGCAGCCAAATACTTTAAAACCGGAGGACCCGGAGAAAATTCCACGCGACCACTCGGAGAGAAAGTTTCCTGTACACCAGGCGAGGTAGTTAACATCTCACATCGGGGAGAGAGAGAGAGACACGCAAACTCCAAATAAACAGCAGGCGTCAGGGTCGGGATCAAACCCACGACCTCCTGTATACCAGGCGAGGGAGTTAACATCTCACCATGGGGAGAGAGAGACACGCAAACTCCAAATAAACAGCAGCAGGCGTCAGGGTCGCGATCAAACCCACGACCTCCTGTATACCAGGCGAGGTAGTTAACATCTCACCACGAGGAAAGAAAGAGACACGCAGACTCCAAATAAACAACAGGCATCGTCAGGGTCGGGATCGAACCCACGACCTCTTGTGTGGCGTGACACTCACCAATACGCAAGCACAAACCGGCCCTGAGAGCCACCATAAAAGCCTCCCATAAAGTTTATCCCAAAAAAAGCAAAATGCAGTGCACTGCATGAGGTCACTTTTTGGCACCACGAGTGTTGTGCAAGTTCGATGGCTGCGTATCGCTATTGAGGACATTAGTCATCAATTGTACCTGTGGGCATATACAGCTGTCTGTCAAACCACTGTTGGATCAAGGCCTCCCAAATGCCATTTGGGCCCGGGGTAGGTGGGGTTATATGACCATGTTTTTCCGTATTTTATTATGTTTTATTTTATTATTTTATTACTTCCCTTCTACGTGACTTTACCGAAAGAACCAAGAAGATGATACCCTGCAGTCACAAAAGCTTTAAATCGAAATTATATGACCGTACTTCACCCTGCTTGTCAGCGCGGGGTGTTGGTGGGGTGCACAGACGTGGACGCGTAGCAGTACAGGGCTACAATCGATTGTTCACAGTGTTGTGACGAGCGTAGGGACAGGCAGACGCTACGAGCTGGGACCACCCCCCCCCCCCCTTTGACAACCACCACAATATTTGTTTTCAACAACAGTGGCTAAAGAACAACAACAACAACAACATGTATTTAAAACGCGGTTTAAATTTATATTTCGTGAAAATGCTTTCATTTACGGTTCCACGTTGGTTTCTAAAATTTTCATTTAATTCAAATCAATTATTTGGGCGTCCCACCTGATCGATTTCCGCAACCCCCTGAGCTGATCGTGTGGTCACGCGGGCACTGATTGATCTCAGCTGATCGTGTGGTCATGCCCCCACTGATTGATCTCTTCTGAGCTGATCGTGTGGTCTCGTGGCCACTGATTGATCTCAGCTGATGGTGTGGTCACGCCGTCACTGATTGATCTGAGCTGATCGTGTGGTCACGTGGTGACTGATTGTTCTCAGCTGATCGTGTGGTCACGTGGTGACTGATTGTTGTCAGCTGATCGCGTGGTCACGTGGTGACTGATTGTTCTCAGCTGATCGTGTGTTTACGCCCCCACTGATTGTTCTGAGCTGCTCTGTGCCGACAACGTAGCTCCATCCAAAATAATTTTTTCTTGGGTTAGATCGCGTAAATATAAATGTGTCGTAAAACCCGCCGCCACCCGACACAGCCAATTCGTCACTAGTACAGCAACACCGGTGTGTTGGAAAGCCAAGCCACAACATTTTCAATCTGAGTACGACGTTTCGCCAGTAAATTACAACGAGCTTCATCAGGGGGACAGCCTCCAATCAGCATCTTGAGGACACCTGCTTTTGCAAGGTGATCGCCCATCTAAGCAATGATCCGAAATCAAAACCCCGCTTAGCTCTCAAGATCTTACGAGATCGGGAGCATTCCAAATGATTCGGTCATGGGTTCATAGTGTACGTGCTGTTGTTATATAGTAACTCCATTATTATGTTTGCTTTTTTGACTACTTGTGTTGTGGTTATTGCAAACATGATGCCTTGAATAAAGGTGTCAGTTTTGTACCAGTTTAAAAGGGTAAAAACCTACTACTATATTTTGCCACTGGTAAAAGAGATCTCATAGAGTATGGGCTGGTGTGTTCTCAATAGGCACATTCAACGGGGAAAGTGAGATCAAATTGCACTCATACATTTACAAAAACACAAAAACTAATTTCGATTTAAAGCTTTCGTGACTGCAGGGATTCATCTTCTTAGTTGTTTCGGTAAAGTCACGTAGAAGGGAAATAAAAAAATAATAATAAAAAAGAAAAATGTTTTATTTTTTATTAATTTTTATTATTTTTATTTTATTATTTTCCTTCCACGTGACTTTACCGAAAGAATCAAGAAGACAAAAACAAATGTCCAGGCATTGAAATCTCACCTTTTCATGAGAGACCCATGACAAAGGCAAAACTCCCCCGGATAGCCTTAACAGAAGGTTGGGGCAAGTACTGTTAGCGAGTAACACCTATGAAGGCCGGCAGAGTACACGAGGGGGTGGGGTGGCCTGCACCACACCCGACCGCCTTTGTCTCCCCAAGTGGAGATAGAGAAGGGGTAAGAAGGAGGATAAGCAGATGTTTTGTGTCTATACGAAGAAAGTAGCACAGATTGATTTTGCTGCACAATGGGAAAATACCTAAAATATTTCATTTAAACAGGAGGGGGGGCGGGAGCACATAAAGCAAAGCAATTGAAAAAAACTAAAAAAAAGAAAGAAACTAAATGATGAACGAAGCAAAGTGCCGACTACACAGATCGTAAAAAAAAAAGAACAAAAAGAGAGAGGCCTGGCTCAGAGGGAGGGGAGAGAGAGGGCGAGAGAGGCGTGGTTCTGCTCGCTCTGCTTCGGCTAAAGGAAGGAAGTTGAACGTTTGAATAAAAAAAAGAAAATAATTTATAAAACAAGGGAGGCAGTGGGTCGTCGTAGAGGGAGGGAGAGAAGGGAGAGAGAGAGAGAAGAGAACGAGAGAGCGAGAGAGAAAGTGGCGGTGGGGTTGGTTCAGAATTATTCTCCATCCTGACCCCCATTCATTGTGTGCGAGAAGGCGGCATCCCAACATCATCAGCAGCATCATCAGCAGCATCATCATCGCAATCTTCGTGGTGTGTGACTCTCTAACCGCATGGGTTTGCAACTAATACAGTCATAAGCACGGTAAGCTCGTTGAATTATCGTCTTTTACACACTGGTTGTGTGTGGTTTTTTGTTGTTGTTGAACAATTGTAGGTGGGTTAATGATACAGTGCTTTGTGCGTTGCTGCTAAACAGACACGCTTTGGTGATTGTGACTTTGTTTGCGTTGTTGCAGAGTTGTGTGTGTGTGTGTGGTGTGATTCATGTTGGACTCTGGTCACGTTTTGGTTATTGTAAGTGTGGGGTTGGCAAAGTCGAGCTTATACAAGGACCGCTATGCGCGTGTGTGTGTAGAACACAAGTCCTGCTTTGTGTACACTCCATACAGCCCTTGTAGAAGGCGGATCACACACACAGAGACACATACATATATACACACACATACAGACACACACACATATATACACACACATACAGACACACACACATACAGACACACACATATACAGACACACACACATAAAGACAAAGATCCCCCGTATAGCCTTAACAGACTGTAGGGGCAAGTGCTTTTAGCGAGCACCTATGAAGGCCAGAACGGCACACGAGGGGGTGGGTGGCCAGCACCACGCCCGACCGCCTTTGTCTCCCCAGTGGCTATGTTTACACACCGCACCAGGTACTCATTTAAGACATACAGACACACATATATACAGACACACACATACAGACACACACACATACAGACACATACAGACACATACACAGACACACACATACATATACAGACACATACACAGACACACACAGACAGACACACACATACACAGACACACACATACATATACAGACACAGACACACACATACACAGACACACACATACACAGACACACACATATACAGACACACACACAGACACATACAGAAACACACACATACAGACACACACACATACAGACACACACACACATACAGACACACACACACATACAGACACACACACACATACAGACACACACACACATACAGACATACACACACACATACAGACATACACACACACATACAGACATACACACACACATACAGACATACACACACACATACAGACACACACATAGACACACACACACATATACACACATACATACAGACACATACATACAGACACACACATACAGACACACACACGACCGAGTGAGATCTCTTTTCTTTTAATAAAACCGCCGATGCATAGCTGACACAATAGACCAACAGACCTCTGGGTTTTGTCTGATGTACATCATCATCAGCACCGCTGTTGATTAATATAACAACAACAGCAGCAGCAACAATAACCCATAGCTAATGCAATATAGACGCAATGGTGATGTGAACCCGTGGCCACATGGGATAATGTCTGATTCATAACTGGTGCAGACATGCGAGCTGCTGCTGCTGGTGGTGGTTTATAGACTAGAAAGACAGCCACAGCTTTCGTATAATAAAATAAAACAGCAACAATTATTCGAGCAGATGCAGTAGGAGTTTTAGTGTGGACACAGGAGGTAAAGCCACGATGTTGATAGACACATGGGGACATCAGCTGATGTGTGTGGAAGCTGTGTACTGCTGCATGTACAGTCCACAACACAAGCCTAATGCCCTCTGTGAAGTGAAAGCACAGATTAGGGATAATAGTGATGGTTGTAAGGCTATTCCACACATCCGATGAAGACACGTGGCATTGCTGATGGACATACAGCCTATTGCATGTCAGCTGTGTGTACTGCAGCCTTGCACATGTAGAGGAAACACGCAGCTATCGTTAAGCGGAGGCCTCGGATAAGGACATTATAATTCAGTGCAGCTGGTATATGACATGGAATGTGCTGTGCATACTGCATTGTAGTTGACAGGCATATGTTGATTAGACATCTGTGAACAAAGAGCTTCAGAGCTCATCGGATTCATCCGACGGTCATGCATATTCCGATTACAGATGGCTGGTACAGCTATGCACAGCATCTGATCATTATACTGGTAGGAACCTCCTGGTTACACCAGCTCACAGGGGATTATTGTGTCCGTCCGTCCGTCGTGCAGGGTGGGTTTGGGTGGGGAGGGTGGGGCTGGGTGGGGAGGGGCTGGGTGGGGAGGGAGGGGCTGGGTGGGGAGGGGCTGGGTGGTGAGGGGAGGGAGGGGCTGGGTGGGGAGGGGCTGGGTGGGGAGGGAGGGGCTGGGTGGGGAGAGGCTGGGTGGTGAGGGGCTGGGTGGTGAGGGGCTAGGTGGGGAGGGGAGAGTGGTGAGGGGCTGGGTGGGGAGGGGAGGGAGGGGCTGGGGAGGGAGGGGCTGGGTGGGGAGGGGCTGGGTGGGGAGGGGCTGGGTGGGGAGGGGCTGGGTGGGGAGGGGCTGGGTGGGGAGGGAGGGGCTGGGTGGGGAGGGCTGGGTGGGGGTGGGGAGGGGCTGGGTGGGGAGGGCTGGGTGAGGAGGGGCTAGGTGGGGAGGTAGGGCAGGGTGGGGAGGGGCTGGGTGGGGAGGGACTGGGTGGGGAGGGGAGGGTGGGGAGGGGCTGGGTGGGGAGGGGCTTGTCACCCGTGGTGCCCTTATAAAACTCAACGTTTAACCTACTCACGCCGGCCATATTTGCGGAATACACCACGCCGCCGTTGACCCTGGCCATTAACCGAGCAACCCAACGTTCCTACCAGCTCACTCCGCAGGAACGTGTTCGGTACAGCAATGCGTGTATAGCCGTGCACCTATTGCAGTATGAACACGGGCAAGCTAATTCTGTACACACAACTGTTGGTTCTACATAGACGTGGATAGGAATAGAGGGACAGCCGATTTGGACGCCCATCAGCTGATCGGGGTAACACGGTTCAAGCCAGCACGTCCAGGAAACTACTGCAGCTGATGGACTCAGCAAGTTGGAGAAACAAAGTGTTGGACACTGATAAGATTTTGTACTACTTCATGGCATAACATGCTACAGCGCCTTTTGGCGTCATCTGGTCCAACCCATGTGAGACTAGGCTCTAAGGAAAGCTGTCTCGGGTGTGGACCAATCAACTTCAAGGACAGTGCATACATTATCAAAGTTATGTTTTTGGTTTGCATTACGACTGCAGGTATTGTGGCCTATGTAAACATGACTCCTTGTAAAAAAAAGTGTCAGTTTTCTTGCCAGATAGAAGGGTAAAAAAACAATTATCATGCTACAGCTGATTAAGGGTATAAGACGGACAAACAAGCACTCGCAAACTCATTGTATACCGCTGATCAAGGCCGTAGACATGAAGTCAACATTGGGGGGGACCAAATCTTCCAGGGTGTCTGGGGGTCCCAACCCAGAAAAAAAAAATCTAAATTTGGAAACTCATTTCCTGCCAAAAATATTGAAAAATTCACTAACACATGGGATGGACTTTTTATTTTTTTTTTTACAATAATGTCTAATAGTGTTTTGTATTACATTGCTCTGATTTTATTTTTTTTACCTTTTATTGTTTAATTGTATGTAATGGCAGTGATTAGGGATTAATAAAGTACAACCATGACCACAATCATATAAACATAAATCTATGCGTTGATTTAAATGCAGACAAGTCCAGATATTGTGGCCAAGGTTTAGCAAATTGTTGTTTTGATTTACATAGCATAGCAATTTTTTAAATATAGCAATATATTGGGGGGACATTTTGAGCATATTTGAATATTGGGGGGGGGGATGTGTATTATAATTACGGCTTGCTGCTGATGATATATAAACAGAAGGCTAAAAGACAGAGTACAATGTTGAGACACTGGTACAATGTTATTTCACAGCTGCCGAAGGAGACACACTGCGTCTGATGTGGACCAGAAAGACGCACGGATCGATGCAAGCTGTAGCAGATTCCCCCAGTTTGTTAGTTTGTTCATAATCAAGGTTTTTGGGTGTTATATCGCGTTATTTATAAATGCGTCGCAAAAAAAAAGTGTCACGTTGACAAAAGACAAAATAGTTCACGACTTTAGCCCACCGGTGTGTTGAGGAGTGAATCCATAACATTTACAGTTTTTGAGTACGACGTTGTGGGGAGGAGACAAGGTTGGTATGTGGTTGAACCATTGTACCATGCTTGCTGGGTGGTATTGACAGACATCGCTGCTTCTATAATGCAGGTTTTTTTGGGGTTATAACGCGTAAATATATAAATGTGTCGTTAAACCCGCCACCACCCGACACAGCCAACTAGTAAGGGTTGTCACGTAAACAGAACGTGCCAATTCGTCACTAGTACAGCACTTGTGTATAGTGTAGTGTATAGTGTAGTGTATAGTGTAGTGTATAGTAGTGTTTAGTGTAGTGTATAGTGTAGTGTATAGTGTAGTGTATACTAGTGTATAGTGTAGTGTATAGTGTAGTGTATACTAGTGTATAGTGTAGTGTATAGTGTAGTGTATAGTGTAGTGTATAGTGTAGTGTATAGTGTAGTGTATAGTAGTTTATAGTGTAGTGTATAGTAGTGTATAGTGTAGTGTACTAGTACAGCAACACCAGTGTGTTGGAGAGCCAAGCCACAACATTTACAATCTGAGTCCGACGTTTCGCCAGTAATTACAACCAGCTTCATCAGGCGGACAGCCAGATTTGTGGAGAAGTCTAATATTCTAGATTTGAAGTTTTCGTGACTGCAAGGATCCATACTCTTTGGTTCTTTCGGTAAAGTCACATGGGTGAAAATAAAAATAATAATAAAATTTAGTTATTTTCATTTTTATTATTCTTTTTATTTTCACCTACGTGACTTTACCGAAAGAACCAAAGAATAAGTCTGATCTTAGAGAAGTCAAATATTTACCCGATCTAACCCAAAACACCTCTTATGGATGATATTGGTCGCGAAAGCCCCTCTGTGTGTTAAACTTATAGCTGCTTCTGCATGTACCATGATGAACAATGTGACTGCACCATTGGAACCTCATTTGCCAGTAACAAAATATGATAATTGTTTTTTTTACCCTTTTATCTGGCAACAAATCTGACGTCATCCGGCCCAACCCATGTGAGACTAGGCTCTAAGAAAAGCTGTCTCGGGTGTGGACCAATCAACTTCAAGGACAGTGCATACATTATCAGAGTTATGTTTTTTGTTTGCATTATGACTGCAGGTATTGTGGTCTATGCAAACATGACTCCTCGTAAAAAAGGTGTCAGTTTTGTTGCCAGATAAAAGGGTAAAAAAAAACAATTATCAATGTGACTGCAGCTGACTGCACATGTTCCTGGACCAGACACACACAATGGGTGGCATAGATATTCATGACAATTACAGTACAACATGGCAATGCAGTACACGCATAATAGCTGTACGTTTGATTGACATGTCCCCGAGCTCATGGGCAAGATGGCACAGACGTGTACCGTACACAAGGACTTACGTAACACAACACATAGACACATATTGCAGAGACGAGCTTTTGTATGTAGTGGTATAATGTACGTTCGAGATGTACTGGCAGCGGTGCACAAAGACAAAGGTCCCCCATGTAGCCTTCGCAAAACTTTTAAGGCAAGTGCTGTTAGCAAGTAGCGCCTAATAAGACCGGAACGGTACACGAAAGGGGCTGGGTGGCCCTGCACCACGGCCGACCGCCAGCGGCAATGTTTATCCACCGCGGAGCACAAATAAACACGCATATGTGCTATGAGGAAGGGCCATAGCCCGAAACGTCGCATGTTATATATTTGCTTTCTTGCCAAGGCCACACACACACCCGCGGTATTATTGACGATTGCGTCGAGTTTCGAGGTGTACATTGGATGAGGGTGTCTCGGAGTGTTGCCCGGACCATACTTCACCACGCCGGTCGGTGCGTGGGTTTGCAAGAAGCATAGACGTGGGGAGCATAGAAGTGCGCGCACGCAGTACAACGATGAATTGTCTGCAGTGCCCGGTGGTTTTCAAACAAGCCGGTGTCACAGCAACCTTGTGCCTTTCTTTCCCCGGCACGTGCAAATTTCGACATCGCAGAGTTGTGGTCGTTCAAGTGGCAAGGAAGACGTCGCTACCACCGCCGCCGCCCGTATCATCTCCAGCGACGACATCATCATGGTCATCCGGGTCTTCATCGCGTCTTCCTCTGGCTCTACGGCAGTAAGAGACTCCCCCCCCCCCCCCCCCCCCCCCTCGTTGTTGATGCGCTTGTTGTGAAACTCCTCTCATCCGAATGAATATCCCGGATCCTCTTGTCCCACGACGTTATCCGCAGATTCTAGATTTGAAGCTTTCGTGACTGCAAGGAGTCGTACTCTTAGATCTTTCGTTAAAGTCACGTAGGTAAAAAAAAAGTTATCCGCAGATTTACTCGGCTTATCCGCGAAAAACGCTTGTGGGTAATAGGGCGAATTTGCCACTGGAATCCGCTTATCCGTGCAAAATTTTGCAGATAATAGGCACAAGGAAAACGCAATTGCTGACTGTGTACATGCATACGACACAATGAGTTCGTGTGATTTTTCAGCATATATTGATTATTCGGATGTTCTGCGTTACAACAGTTCCGTATATTCTTATGCAAGTCTATAACATCAGAACTAATGTTTTACAGATAATTGGCGAACGTGCTGAATTTAAATATTTACGCGATCTAACCCAAAAAAAAACTCTTATGGATGATATTGGTTGCGAATGTACTCTCCCGTATGAATGTTGTTTCCATGAAGACCTTTGTTAATCCACTGCTGGATTAAGGCCCCCCCGCCATGCCCTGTCAGTCGTGGGGGTTGCTTGACCATACTTCACCACGCTGGTCAGCGTGTGTTGGTCACGGAATAGGCCCGAGTCTGGCTCGTGTATCACTCGCCAGAAATGTCAGCTGTGGCTGGGAATCGAACTCGGGTCACCTCAAGTTCAAGTTCATGTATTAGGTAGAGCCCTGTGAGCCATTCGGCTCTTGAATCGGGTGCAACCGCAACAAACAAAAACATGAACAAAAAATATCTTAAAGTGAATATGTGACTAAGTGCAAACAGAAAATCCAAGAAAAGACAGCAAAATATTGCAGAAAAAAATCACTGTACACCTACGCTGTGTGCAAAAATCCCAGTGGGATGCAAGTCAAACAACAACAACAACAACCACAAGACAACTTAGATTAAGGCCATCAGTCTAACTCTGTACTACACCTGGTTTATGAGAGAGTGTGCCAACCCCCATGCAACCACTCATCCCCCTGTGAATGGATATTGTGGTTCTTTACGGTATTTAATCGCACGTACATTCCTGCTGTATTATAGTGGTATGCCGATTTGCACGGTTGGCTACGTACGGTGCGAAATAAGTTCAAAGTAAACGCATACATACAGATACAGCCGATTTGCAATGTCAATTCCAGCTCCCGGCTTTCAAATACGCGTTCTCATTGACAAAGCTTCAAACTTTGTATCGTGCAGTCACCGAAACGAATATAATCACGAGTCAAACACACGTGCAATACAACAGTTGAAGTCACCGTTTATAGGGCCCCATTCACCAACTCTGTACATTGGTGCGATCGGCGCTGCAGTTATAGACCGGTGTGGCCATGTGGCCACGTCATGCCATGAGTCATTGACATGCAGATTCCGAGAATGAATGAATGGATTGTAATTGCTGTCCGCTGTAGACGACACAGCCCCCCCCCCCCCCCAATTCATTAAGGCCATCAATTGCATCATCGCCATCATCGGCATCCAACAGTGTATGGCGTTGTACGCTCATGTGAGAGACGCACAGAGCTCGTACCTGTGCTGTATAGGGACTGCAGCATGTCGTGGACGCATCGACTCGTATATCGAGGTCCATCTATTTATACAGAGACGAATAGACTTGTATAGTGATCCATAGCCTCCCTTGTTACAGTCACGGCTCCAAGACTTTGCTTTTTAAATCCTTTATATTAAGTTTGCTTGCGTGCTTTTGCGTGCTTGCGTGCTTGCTTACGACCGTGCAAATCTTTCGGTCGTTTTTTAACACACTTCCCGTGATCCAATCGAGCTGACATTTTGCACACGGACTCGTTGTGCGTGACAATTAATTTTCGTGAAAATTTTTTTCCAAAATTTTACACTTTTTAGGAAAAAAAAAATTATATTTACTTACCAATTGCTTAATGGTGGCAGGCAATCATCTGACCCATAGGCGGCAGCCAGAGGACTCTAGCCGCCACGCATATAAAGGATTTATAGTGAAAAACTTTGTTTTTACGGGTACATTTTTTCCTCTGCCTATTACAACTGTTTCTATATAATATGTATTGGGGGGCGGGGGGGGGTGACCATACTTCACCACGCTGGTCAAGGGTGAGGTCAGGCCCGAGACCAGTTCAGATTATCACTCGCTGGCCTGGAATCAAACTCAGGTGGGCAGGGTCATAGGGCAGTGCACTAACCGCAGCGCCAACGCCACACCCATCGCTCCTTTCCACGGCACCTCCGATTAGCACGGTTGGCTATTTGCGGTTGGCGTGGTTGGCTCTGTGTGGTGCGAAAGAAGTTCAACATACATACAAACTCTAAATATCGGTGTGTCTATGTTAGCTATAATGTGTGTGTAAAATGTATTGTGACCATGTGCACACATGCGTCTCTGTCACATGTCACGGTAACATCCTGTGAGAACAACGCGTGGTATATCTGTGCGTTTTCCCCTTTGTCAGGAAGATTCTGATAAAAAAAAGGGGAACATTTAGGCACAGCTGTTTCCGTAATAGATGTGCGGCCCATTGTCAGTCCACTGCTGGATGAAGGCCTGCCCATTCCATACGGGTCGTAGGGGTTATTTGACTATACTTCGCCACGCTGGTCAGTGGAGGTCGGTGTGTCAATGTAGGAGCATAGAAGTACGGTACAATGGATGTTGAGCATAGAAGTACGGTACAATTGATGTTCACCACATGGCCCTGCAGCAGTGTATCAACAGCCTTCTGTGCAGGGTGGTCATCAATCAAAGCGCTATCCAGGCTTAAACCTGCTTAGCTTCTTACATCTGATATTGGTTACATTCTGGATAATTTGGTTATGACCCAGCCATTATAAATTCTTTAATACTGTATTGTAAACATTTCGATTTAAAGCTTTTGTGACTGCAGGGATTCATCTTCTTGGTTCTTTCGGTAAAGTCACGTAGAAGGGAAATAATAAAATAATAAAAACAAAACATAATAGAATTATTATTTGTCTGTCGGGGAGACAGCGTCTCCCCGACAGACCTGGTCTTCACCTGAGGACGGCTGCTTGCGTTGTGGCCGAAACGTTGTGAGAATTATTTTATTATGTTTTATTTTTATTATTTTATTACTTCCCTTCTACGTGACTTTACCAAAAGAACCAAGAAGATGTATTGTAAACAGTTACGGTTATAGGCCTTGGGATTTTATTGGTACTCAAATGTGTATACGCACATATTAAATTATAAACTTTTTATTAAAATTTTACCCGGTAAGGGCCACTAAGCAATATACAGTAGCTCTTTTTCAGAAGCAATCTAGCTATCACAAATGACACCGCAACGAAGTGGCTTATCGCGTGAACATTTATTGCAGCCAAATACTCTAACCGCACGTTGATTCTAAACGTGGAGGGAAAAACCGGAGGACCGGGAGAAAAAAATCCACATGACCACAGCAAGAGAGACACACGCAAACTCCAAATATACAGCAGGCGTGATGGTCGGGATCAAACCCACGACCACCTGTATACCAGGCGAGGTAGTTAACATCTCCCAGCCACCGTGATGATGATGATGCGAGAGAGACACACGCAAACTCCAAATATACAGCAGCAGGCGTGATGGTTGGGATCAAACCCACGACCACCTGTATACCAGGCGAGGTAGTTAACATCTCCTCTGCTTCGTATGGTTGATGTTGATGTAGACCAGGGGTGTCCAAACTTTTTGCAAAGAGGGCCACATTTGATAAAGTGAAGATGCCCGGGGGCCAATAGTTCCTTCTGACATTGTTTTAACCACAACAGTTACGTGGAAATACATACTGTTATAAAACAATTTGCATTGTCACAATTACCTTTATTTTTCAAATCACAATGTAACCAAATATAAGCCACTCAGGCAGACGGGAACAACTCTAAAAACGCAATTCTGCCTTTCATTCAGTCAGATAACATTGAACAAACTGTATAGAATACCTTAAATTTCCATGACTTTTATGATGTATTTATTCTGACAGAGCTGGCGAGCCATAACTAACACATTATAAGACCGAAGCTTCGGGCCGTATGAAATCTGCCCGCGTGCCGTGATTGACCCGCGGGCCGGACTTTGGTCATGCCCGATGTAGAGCAACAACTCTAATTTTACATTGAGGTTGTTGAGCCAGGTGATTGCGTCAGACGTAACGAAGCGGTCCATCGCAGCTGTGACGAGGCTTCCTTCACGTTTGTGAATTTGGGCATGGAGACCGGAGCGGTGGCGCAGCGGTGAGCACGCAGCACTACGGGACCTGAGTTAGAGTCCCACTCACGGCCACTAACACCAGTGACGATTATCCGAATCGGTCCTGTGCCTCCTCTAGGTCGACTCTGCTTCAAATGAGTACCCGGTGCGATGTGTAAATGTCCCAACTTGGGGAGACAAAGACGGCCGGGTGTGGTGCTGGCCACTCACCCCCTCGTGTGCCATGTCGGCCTTCATAGGTGCTCGCTCACAGCACTCGCCCCTACAGTCTGTTCAGGCGATACGGGGATCTTCACCTTTGAGCCATTACGTGTCCCCTGGTTTGTCGTGGGCGACCGCAGTTGCACAGGATTGCATATTCGGCGCGTCTCTGCGCGCCACGCAAGACCCTAAGACACTCAAAGCTTCGGCAACATTTTGCGGCTAAAGCACACAAGTTTGCGCAGACATTTGGCTGTCGAGCTAGTGAGACATCGGGTCCTTTTGTGCGGCAAAAGACGAACGTTAATAAGTATAACCCGTAAAAACAAAGTTTTTCACTCTAAATCCTTTATATGCGTGGTGGCTAGAGTCCTCTCGTCCTCTGGCTTGAGATGGCTGCCACCTATGGGTCAGATGATTGTCTGCCAGTATTAAGCAATTGGTAATTAAATATTTAATTTGTTTTCCCTAAACAGTGTAAAATTTTGGAAAAAAAATTT